ATTTTATAGAAAGCCCTGGCCTGCAGTGTGAGAAGGGGTATACATGTGCAAGAGCAGTAGTGAGCTATTGCGGTAATACAGTGGAGCGATGATGGTAGTTAGACCATTTGAAGTGATAAGTAATATGACATTCTGGACATATTTTGAGAGAGCCAGAAGGACTTTCTATACATGGAGTCTGAGTAAAGCAGATTAAGGCTAAGGATTTTTACTAGAACAACTGGAACAACTAGATGGATTATCTGGAGTGGCCATTCATGGGTAAAGCAGATTTGAACATAAGATTAGAAATTTAGTTTTAGACACGTTCAGTGTTGAGTCTGCGATAGATGCTTGGGTTGACAATTTGAATCTGGGAGTTGTCGGGATATAAATTGCATTTAGAGTTATGTTACTATAACAGAAAACTAAGGGAGTAACAACACACACAGTAATGACATATACAGGTTAAAGGCTCATGTTGTAATCAATTCTGGGAGAAGCAAAGGGGACAGAAAATGAAAAACCAGTGAGATAGGAGTGAACCGAGTAGAAATTAAATTCCAAGGGGCGGGTGGAGGAAGCCGAATCCCCAGTGCCAAATGTTCATGAGAGGTCATGAGAAAGACTGAGATCAGACATTGGAAATAGCCATGCAAGTCAGTGGTTACCCTGTGGGCATGTTCAGTGGAGCAGAGGTATAGAAAGCACGATTGGAGTATGTTTTAGGGCAAATGAAAAAATTGAGGAAAATGAATATAGACAATTCTCTGGGAATTTTTGCTACAATGCAGAAGAAGGAAAGCAATAGCAGCTGGTAGAAGGATGAAATGAAGTAGAGGATTTTTTATTTTGTTTTAAACTTAAAACTTGAGCACTCTTTATGGGCTGTAAGTTTTTTTTTGTTTTGTTTTGTTTTTTTGTTTGTTTGTTTGTTTGTTTTTTGACAGGCAGAGTGGACAGTGAGAGAGACAGAGAGAAAGGTCTTCCTTTGCCGTTGGTTCACCCTCCAATGGCCGCCACGGCCGGCACGCTGCGGCCAGCGCACCGCGCTGATCCGATGGCAGGAGCCAGGAGCCAGGTGCTTATCCTGGTCTCCCATGGGGTGCAGGGCCCAAGCACCTGGGCCATCCTCCACTGCACTCCCTGGCCACAGCAGAGAGCTGGCCTGGAAGAGGGGCAACCGGGACAGAATCCGGCGCCCTGACTGGGACTAGAACCCGGTATGCCGGCGCCGCAAGGCGGAGGATTAGCCTAGTGAGCTGCGGCACCGGCTGGGCTGTAAGTTTTAAGAAGCAGTATTTAAGTCATAGAGAACAGCTCAGGATTTGGTGTGTGGCTAATAGTAGTTCTGTCATTAGGCCGGCGCCGCGGCTCACTAGGCTAATCCTCCGCCTAGCGGCGCCGGCACACCGGGTTCTAGTCCCGGTTGGGGCGCCGGATTCTGTCCCGGTTGCCCCTCTTCCAGGCCAGCCCTCTGCTGTGGCCAGGGAGTGCAGTGGAGGATGGCCCAGGTGCTTGGGCCCTGCACCCCATGGGAGACCAGGAAAAGCACCTGGCTCCTGGCTCCTGCCATCGGATCAGCGCGGTGCGCCGGCCGCAGCGCGCCGGCCGTGGCGGCCATTGGAGGGTGAACCAGCGGCAAAGGAAGACCTTTCTGTCTGTCGTCTCTCTCTCACTGTCCACTCTGCCTGTCAAAAAAAAAAAAAAAAAAATAGTAGTTCTGTCATTTACTTGTAGGCTCTGGGCCAAATTAACTAAGCTTCATAAACATCAATTTTCTTATTTATAAAATGAAGATGGCAATGCTTGCTTTGTATTTTTGTTGTGAAGTCAAGATGAAGTAATATAGTTTGAAAGCATATCATGGTGATTGGAATATAAAAGAGGTAGTAAAAACCTGTATCAAGTATTTTTAAACAAGAAAGTATATGTTTTTTAAGTTTACAGCATAGCAATGGAACATATAAAATTATATTGTGATGGGTAAATGTTAATAAAAATAAAACAAAGAATGCTTGGGGCTGGCGCTGTGGCACAGTGGGCTAAGCCTCCGCCTGCAGACCTAGCATCTCATACAGATGCCAGTTTGTGTTCTGGGTGCTCTTATTCTGATAAAGCTCCCTGATACAGCCTGGGAAAGCCGTAGAAGATGTCCAAGTGCTTGGGCCCCTGCACCCACACGGGAGACCCGGAAAAAGCTCCTGGCTCTGGATCGGCTCAGCTCTGGCCATTGTGGCCATTCGGGGAGTGAACAGTGGATGGAAGGCCTTATTATCTTCTCTCTCTCTCTCTGTAACTCTACCCTGTCAAATAAATAAAATCTTAAACAAACAAACAAAAAAACAAAGAATGCTACAAGTACCTAGCAAGAGAGTAAATAATTTAATAGGATGGAAGTAAAAAAAAATAGTACTAGGATCGAATAACTAATTGCATTGGTAGAAATCAAAGAAACTATCATAGAAAAGGTAACAGTTGGGTAGTATTAAAGGAGGTGAAAATTTAACAATTTAGTTTTTCCAGAATGCGAATGATTTCCAATTTATTTTGCAAGATTTTCTTTGAAATTGATGTTTTAAAGATTTAAACTTATTTACATCTTTATTCAAATTGCTGACAGAAGTGAGAAAGATCTTCATCCACAAGAAAACTTTCCAAATGCCAGTGACTGCCAGGACTAAAGCAGGCTGTAGCGAGGAGTCCAGAACCCCATATGGGACTCCCACAGTGGTGGCTGTGGCCCGAGCACTTGAGCCATCATCTGCTGCCTTCCCGGATGCACATTAGCAGTGAGCTAGGTTGGAATCAGAGTATCTGGCACTAAAATCAAGCACTCTGAATATGATGCAGTTGTCCCAAGCAGTGACTTAACCATTATGCCCCAAAATGAACTTTACACTTACTTTTTCTTGTATTATCTACAAGATGATATGCATCTGTGGGTTGAAAATGAATCCAATTTTTATAAACCATCAGGAATACTTGTTAATTCAGAATAGCTCTAGTGATTGCGAGGGGTAATAACACTTTTGCAGTCATTTGTTACATTGGATTTATTAATTTGCCCCATGTATAGACTCTTTGTCTGGACTAAGATAATTGATGGTGACTGAATCAAAATTTTTAAAAATCTATACATCATTTGGTAGGGACAGAAATATAAACATGCCCATTTAGTAATACCATGATAGACAATTTCAAAAATTCAGAACAGGTCACAAAAGAAATTCTGGATGATTTATGTAATGATACAGAAAGGGATTATAGAGGATATAGAGCATGCATTATGAACGATAATTAGGTAACTGTTAAGCTGTGTAAATCCTACATGGGAGGCCCCTAGCACAGGTATGATTTCTCAGTTCATATAAGGGTTAGTAGTTCAGATGCAGAGTGGTGATGTATCGGGGCAGGGAGTGGCACTAATTCCATAGATGAAGATGGAGAAATAGGCAAGGGACAAAGGTCTTTGTGTACTTTGGTAGTTGTTTTCCTTATAAGAACTGGAAAGTCCTTGAAGTATTTTATAAGCAAAATTGCTTCTGTACAAGGGAAGGGATATTGCCATTGAATATGAGGTCACTGGTCAAAGGAATTAAGGACCTTAACCAAAGAAGGAAGATAGGGATTGCCATAGTCCCTGAGGAAGAGGGTTTGATTTGGTATGGGAGGGCCCGTGGGGAATTGAACAGTTGAGGAATGCGTCCCATGTCTCACAACAGTCTTCATCGAATGTGGTCACAGGAAGGGTAGGTTAGGTGTCGCCATCTAACACTATCCTCTGACTCCTAAAAATGCTGGCCCGCCCCAGCTGTTGCAGATAGTAGGCATTTGGAGAGTGGACCACTGAAGGAAGATTCTCCCTATCCCTCCATCATATCAATATGATATCAATGTGATATCATAATACTGCGAGTCAAATTATCTTTCAAGAAAGCCACACCTTCTGAAGGATTGAAGGAAAGTAGGCCAGAGGATTTTATTTTACCTGAAATGAGCACAACACTAATCAATGAAGCAGAAGAGACCCCAGAGCAATGATTGAGAGTTAGCTAGGCGAAGTATCCTGGCATGGGAAAGCAGCAGGAACCAGAACAAAGCCACGGATAGGAACTGGGAGGACCCCAAGGTTCTGCATGGGTTGGGGAGGGACATCTGAGAAGGTACTGTCCAGAAAGCACTTTACTTTCTTGATGGAATACACCTCTACAGAAGGGTGAGTTGGAGACAGTTACCCTAAACTAGGTGGGTGTTTAAACAATACAGAGGTTTACTGTAAGGAAACCTGTTTTCTTCCTTTCTTTTTAAAATTTCATTTATTTACTTGAGAGGCAGAGTCACAGAGAGAGGGAGAGACAGAGAGAAAGGTCTTCCACCTGCTGGTTCACTCTCCAAATGGCCGTAACGGCCAGAGCCCGGCCAATCTGAAGCCAGGAGCCAAGAGCTTCTTCCAGAGTGGGTCTGGGGCTCGAGCACCTGAGTCATCTTCCACTGCTTTCTCAGCCCATTAGCAGGGAGATGGATCAGAAGAGGAGCAACTAGGACATAAGCCAGTGCCGAGTGGGGATGCTGAGCCACAGGTGTAGGCCCAGTACACTATGCCACAACGCCGGTCCCAGGAAAGCTGGTGATTCTTTAAGCAATTTTCTGACTGGTGTGAGAAAATGGTTCAATATTTTAGGTAATTTCTCTTTCCTTTATTGGACCCTTCCCCTATCTCAAACAGAGAGTACCCCGATATTTATAGTATGTGAATTATTAGTAACACTTGTGCTTTCCAAATTTCCTTTTTCTCAGTTCAATTATATGAATTGGACACTTACCCAGGTTTTTAAATGGGCTTTTCATTTGTTGAACCGAATGGTTATCAATTAGCACTAGCATATTTATCACACCACGGAATCAGATCAATTGACAAGATATCTATTTTTAAATTCACATTGTTGGCTGAAGGAAAGGCGAGAATACTCTAACCCTTATTGGATAAGTGATCCAGCCAGAATGAAGATTAAACTTACGTCTCATTCCAGTTGACCAAGAGAAAAGATAACTTCTTTGCTGGAATAGATCTGTAGTTTCTCACTTGGCACAGCTTCTTCCCAGCATAGGTAAGCCAGCAGGAATAAGAAAATGCTTTATAGCTAAAAAAGAAACAGCATCGATTCACTAAGATTAACACTCTAAAGAAATGAGCTTTCTATATGGGTCATCATTTTAATAGTCAAAAGTCAGATGATAAAGTGATATTTGGTGTATAAGGTATGTTTAAAAATTATTTTAAGAATCTGACAAGCTCGTCAGCAAGACAATGGAACAGGAAGCCACAGGAGCTCCTTTCCCCATGAAGATCCGAATTCAACACAAAGCTGAATTATTTTTTTAAAAGATTTATTTGAAAGGCAGAATTACACAGAGAAGGAGAGGCAGAGAGACAGAGACAGAGACAGACAGACAGAAAGACTTCCATCCATTGGTTCACACACCAACTGGCCGCAATGGTTGGAGCTGTGCCTATCCAAAGCCAGGAACTCCCCCTGGGTCTCCCACATGAGTGCAGGGGCCCAAGGACTTGGGCCATCTTCTACTGCTTTCCCAGGCCATAGCAGAGAGCTGGATCAGAAGTGGAGCAGCTGGGACTCAACCTGGCACCTATATGGGATGCTGGCACTGCAGGCAGCAGCTTTACCCCCTACGCCACAGCACTGGCCCCAGAATTATTCCCTTTGTGAGGAATCCAGAAACCTTTTAAGAGGAACCTGTGACCCCAAATGAATGCAAAAATCAGTCACACTGAAGTTAGTGGAAAAATTCATGGCACTGGCCAGAGTCCCACCCTGGCACAATGTGGCATGATTCAGAGAAAACTCCAACTCTTGATTTTCTCGTGGGAAGGGAAAGAGAGGGCTTGAACACAGAGCTAGGTTTTTAAGATGAAGAACAATATTTTCTCAGATGAAAGCCGAGGGAGGTTATTGCAACTAGATCTGACTTATAAGAAATAGTAAGTGAATTCCCTAAAGTTGAAATCAAGGAAATTACAGCAAAATACACCGAGGTATAACATTCAATAGTAAATATATAAATACAGAACACTGAAATGGTGGCATATAAATAATTTTTCTTTGGTATAGCATTTTAAAAACTAATTTAAAAAGACATGACATCCATAACATAACAAGTGTGGGAAGAGACATGTGAAATTTTTGTATGTGTTTGATGTTAACTTATCACCTTAATATATTGTATTATAGATATAATGGTCCTTACATAAAGCATCACGTAACTATAGAGAAAATATAAGATACACAGAAGAAAGCAAGTAGGGAATCAAAGTATGCCAGTTAAAGAAAAATCACTGACACAAAGGATGGCACCAAGAGAAAAATAAAGAGGCTATGAGGCAGGGAGAAAGCAAACTAGCAAGTCTTTCACCAAAAAATAATTACTCTAAATGTAAATGGCTCAACTCCCCCATCAAAACAGAGAATGGCTGAATGAGTTAAAGAACGCCCACAACATCAAACTATATGTTGTCTATGGGAAATTCACTTTAGATTTCACACACAGAGACCAAACTGCAAGGATAAAAACATTGGTTGCAAATAGTAACCACAAAAATGTAGAATTACCTATTCTTATATCACTGAACTAGACTAAGTGAAAAACCAAGAGAAGTGATAATGAAGACCATCATATAATGATGAAAGATAAATCGACCAGGTAGATGCAACAATTGTGAATATATATACACCCAGCATCAGGACACACAACTAAAAGCAACCATCGATGGGCTGAAGGGCAAAAGTAGACAGCAATATGACCGGCATTTCCATCTCTTAAGTATTTATCCAAAAGAATTGAAACCAGAATCTTGAAGGACTATTTGCGCTACCATGTTCACTTCAGTATTGTTAACAGTAGCCAAGAGGTGGAACAACTCAAATTTCCATCAATGGATGAAGGGTAAATAATAAAGATGTTATATATACATACAAGGAAATATTATTCCACCTTGAGGAGAAAGGAAATCCTGTTATATTACAACATGTTTGGATCTGGAGAATCCATGTAAAAGGAAGCAATCACAGAAGGACAGATACTGCATATAGCACTTATGAAAGTCAACTAAAGTATTCAGATTCATAGATGAGAGTAGAATGCAGGTTACCAGGGGCAGGAAGATGGGAAAATACAGAGTTGCTGTGTTATACAGAATTTCAGTCATGCATGATGAATGAGTTTGAGAGACCTCTTGCAAAAAATGCACATATAGTCAATACTTTATATGTAAATATTTGTCAATAGGACATATTTCATGTTAATTTTTACTACAAAGTAAAAGGTTGAACTACAAATGTTTTCATTTATGCACCACAAGACTGTTTTGGTCAACAATGGACTACATATACAATGGTGGTCCCATAAGATTATATCACATACTGATGGGATATACAAGTTAGCTTGAATAAGTACACCATATGATATTTGGTCAATTATGCAATTGTTTGATGCATTTTCCAGAATGCATCTTATTACTAAGTGGCACATGCCTGTAATATGTCAATTTTTTGATGAAAAAAATACTTTTGATATGAGTAAAATCATTTAAGGATAAATTTGTATATGAATCTCTAGTATGAAACATTAATGGAGCCCACATTTCAAGCAATACCTATTCATTTTTACAATTTTAAATTGAATGAGAATTTATGTGTTATAAATGTTTAAATATAATGAAGTCATGGGATAATTAAAAATAACTCTGATACTTCAGGGATGTTCCTGTGAGTTTATGCCATGATTAAATATTTTAAATGTAAATCATGTTTGTAGATGGCAGCTAAGCAAAATTCCCAACATTAAATATAAACATAACTCCTGATAACACTGGTGAGTATTGCATTATCACATCACATACTGCTAATAGATTTTGTTAAGAAATTTAAGAGGAGGAACAGACACTTGGCCTAGTAGTTTTATGCTCACATTCCATTTCCGAATATGTAGGTTGAAGTCCTGGCTCTGCTTCCAGTTGCAGCTTCCTGCTAATGTGCATGCTGGGAAGCAGGTGAAGGCTCAAGGATTTGGATCTCTGTCATCATGTAGGAAACCTGGATTGACTTCCCTAATTCCAGCTTCCTGCTAACATGGGAGGCAGTAGGTGATGCTTTAAGTAGTTAAAAATCCATTTGGGAGAATCTGAATTGAGCTCCTGGATCCTTGGCATTTGGGGAGTAAACCAGGAGATCTTAAGTCTATGTCTCTTTCCCTCTTTTTTCCATCAAAATTAAAATAAAAAATTATTCTTGATTCAGCCATATTAGTCTATATTAATATTTGCTTATTTTCTGTGCATCATTTATATTTAATGTCATGCCTATCTCACATATTCTTTAATGTGTGACTGATAAGCCAAGTTTATTAATAAGACTTCAGTGACACAGATGGATGATACAGGCTATACAAATGTTCATTTTAAAAGCAAAGTTATGGGACAAGGAACCTGAATGGGTCATCCAAATTGCCCAAATATTCTCTTGAAGAGAAATAATTTTAGCTTTCTCATGTGCACAGTCTCATGATTAAATATACTGTCATTTTTTCTATAGATATACTTTATTATATACTACATATTACTATATATAGCATGTTTTTATGTATAATTATTTCTACAATTCATTTATCATAACATGGTACTATATTTCGAGTGATTTAAGAGATTAGGAAATAACTGTCACTAACTTAATTTAAACTCTTCATATAATGTGACCTTGCTATACTCATTTTTTAAGATTTATCTTATTTGAAAGGCAGGCAGAGAGGGAAAGACAAATCTTGCATTTGCAGCTGTACTCCCCAAATGTCTGCAAAGCTAGGAGCCTGGAATTCCACCTGGGTCTCCCATGTTGATGGCAGGGGCCCAAATACGTGGGCCATTTTCCATGGCTTTCCTAGGCACACTAGCAGGGAGCCGTTTCAGAAAGAGTAGCCAGGACTCGAAGTGCTGCTCTGACATGGGATGCTGGTATTGCAAGTGGTGGCTTAAACCACTATGCTACAACACTGGCCACGTGTGCTCTTATCATGTGTGACAATAATTTTAACTGTAGTTAACCACTCTGCCATTTTGTTGTTCTGGACTCACTTTCTAAGACATTGGGCCATTAGTGCTATGATTCTAGTGGAATATTTTCTTCACTCTTAGAAGATATTCCAGTCTACTCTCCTTCATTGTCATCACTTAAGTTTTCAGCTAAGCTTTTCTTTCTTTCCTCAGGAATAACTACAACATGAATTAAGTATTCCTACTCTCCAGGCTCCTTGTAATATTCTCAAAAACCAAGTCTGACTCCCTTCTGTATTCAATAGTGTTCATTTAGACATTCATCAAACCTTGTTAAGATTTGGGGAGGGGGGAAAAGAGGCGGGGGGAGAGGGGGGAAGAGGCGGGGGAGAGGGGGGAAGAGGCGGGGGAAAGGGGGGAAGAGGCGGGGGAAAGGGGGGAAGAGGCGGGGGAAAGGGGGGAAGAGGCGCGCGGGGGAGAGAACTCTGCAGACCAATGGATTACTACCCAAATGCCCGCAACAGCTGGGGCTGGGCCAGGTCAAAGCTGGTATGTAATAACTCTATAAAGGTCTCCATGTGGTGATAGAAATCCAACCATGTGAGCCATCACCTGCTGCCTCTCAAGGTGCACACTCGCAGGAAGCAGAAATATGAAGTGAGCAGGAATTTGAATCAAAGCCAGGCACCACAATTTGGGATGAGGGTGTCCCAAAAGACATCTTAACAGGCAGGTCAACTGCCCAGCTCACTTTGAACAAGTATTTACTTCATACCTATTATATGCTAAGAAATGCTTCAGACGTTAGAGCATACAAATATTCATAGTCATACAGGCATTGTAAAAGATGATTTTAAGAAGAACTAGTAGTGTGCAATTATCAATATAATGAGCACGATGCCATATGTACATAAAAAATAACTCATCTTTGAGATAAGGTAAATTCAGTTTGTGCAGAGGATGAAGAATTTCTCTACGGTATGAGAAATTTAAGTAAAATAAAAATGGATTCTTAATTACTGTCATGCATCAGAGGATTTGTTTAGTCAGCTTTTCCCAAGTAATATATTCCCACTGGCCTTTGATGGCTTGGGTGGGCTCCTCTCTGAAGGCAAAGTCATGGAGATCAAATCTTCATTCATGACAGAAGTTTCCCAAACTATTTTATCTTAGAGCACTAAAACAGCATTCCTTAATCTGTTCCATTCATTGTCATTAAGTCTTTATAACTAAAGCCACGTAAAAAGCTGTCATTTTGTAATACTTCCCCCTCCCAGTATTGGTACTTATGTTTTTGGAGACACCTCTTGCGCAATTTTTTCCTTGATGCTTCTTCCCAGATGTGGTATCCCACCTCTCAGTCAGCCCAAGTGTCCTGTCGTCAAGTATTCCAATCTTTGTATCATCCTTTCCCACACTGAAACAATGTGGCAGAGATAGTGGATACCACAGATGAGGTTACCAAAGATCACCTCTTCTGACTCTGGTGCCACAATGCTCATGAACTCCTATTGGATCATCTGCTCTGGGGAAAGCCAGTTGCCATGTCTTCAGGACATGTGTAAATAGCGTTGTGACAAGGAATTGAGGCCATGAGACTTGCTGGCTATGTTCCTCACAGCCTGCAACCATGCAAGTGAGTTGGAAATGAATTCTAAACTTCCTGTGAGCTCCGAAATGACTACAACCCGGGTTTAATAACCTCAGTATAATCCATAAGAAACCTTGAAGAAATACCCACCTTTCTAAGCCAGACCTAAAAATTGTGAGCTAATGCTGATCAGCTCAGTTAGCTCACAGTTTGCTGTGCTGAACTGCTATGTTTTGGGGTAGTTTGTTCTATACAGAAAAATTATAGATGAAGTTCCTAGGAAAATATAGAATATGCAATGTGTCCTGAGTTAAGACGTTATACCATGGCCTCTGTCCACAGAAGTGGTAATGCTGATTGACCTATGGATTTCTTTAAAAAGAAATAGCTCAATAGCCTTTATTTTTCCTCTGTCTCCAGTTTTGGCTTTATAGTTTGGTCCTCCAATGAGCGGCAGGGGCGATTTCTTTCCTCTCTCAAAGCTCACATTTACTCATTGATTATAGTGACTTCTGCAGAAAAGCATTCTTTTATATCTCTAATTATATATTCATAGCTCTATGTAGCTGTGAAAATGTAAAATGCCCTTACTATTTTTACTTTGCATGCATATGCTATGTGGAAAAAGGCAAAGGAGAGTTGGATAAACTACATTTATATAAAATTACACATTTTAAATCCATATATTCAATATTCATATACACATTTATATATTATTTGTATGTATATATGTGACTATATAAACACATAAATATATGTGTGTTCTATACATACTCATAATTATTAACCTGGAGAGATTTTCTGTGTAAATTAAAGTTAAGGAGCATGTTTATGGTCAGAAAATTGTACAAAAGCACTCAAATTAGCAATGCATTTTTTATTAGTTCTTTAAATTTAAGAGAAAACACAATATTCCAAGATTCTAAAGAAATGTGTGTGTGGATAGTGTTTTATAATTTCATTTTAAGTTAACTTTATACAAGTCATTTGCAGAAGTTACCTCAGGAAATTTTATTGAAATTTTTTGGCTTTTGAGATATTAAATACAGAAGGTATAATAAATCCATCAACACATTACCATTCTCTTATCAACTTTAGTAATTTTAGTCAGCATTCTTATAAATGTAATCCATAAGGAATTTAAGATTATGCAGTATTAATCCCATTTTATTTTTCAAGAGAAAACTATAAAATAGAATCACCCTAAAATCTTATGCTATCCCATGTATGATTTGGTTTATTTTTACTGCAACACAAATAATTCTTAATTCCCATTTTATCAAGGTACTCATCTCATGCAATATCTGCATTCACAACTTGATGGGGATTGGAGTAGCTTTTCTTCTATTTTTACGTCATCTGTATCTTTATGCGTATGTTATCCCTCTTTTTCTTCTCTTAATTGGTATTAGTAATGTAAACCCAAGCATGAGGAAAATTTTAAAGCTGCCACCATATAGGATGAGTATTTTTTATTTTAATATTATATCCACAGTGTAAAATAAGATTTTTATCTATTTCGTTTGCAGGGACTCAAACATATGCACAAACACAGTGAGACACACACACACACACACACACACACACACACACAGAGAGAGAGAGAGAGAGAGAGAGAGAGAGAGAGAGAGAGAGAGAAATATGACAGAGAACCTGACAGATTGCCAGCCAGCCAGCTCCTATTTGTGGTTCACTCCCTACTTTCCTGCAATAGCCAGCGCAGGTTGAGGCTGAAGCTGGGAGCCAGGAACTCTCCATGTCGATGGCAGGGATCCAACCACTTGAATCATCATCACTGCCTCCTAAAGTCTGCACTAGCAAGAAGCTGGAGGAGAGGCAGAATTTGAACATGGACACATTGATGTGGCATACGGGGTGACCCTACAGACAGCTTGACCACTAGGGCAAGTGCCCATTCAGGAATTCTCTTTAAGAGAATGGATAAGGAAGGAAAATCAATGTCTATTAGAAATTTGAACTGCATTTTAAGAATCAGGGTACATCGATGCTGATTAATTTCCAAAATTTAATGAAATATTTGCACCTGCAAATAAGGGAAAAAAATGTGCTCTAATTAGAAGCTCTGTAAAAATGAACTATTTTGTGAACATCTCATTGCCACTCACCTGTGCACCCAGGGCTCTGGAATGTTGTGCACTGCATACACTCTGAAGCTCAGGTGGGAGTGGAGCTCAGGACTCATGGGGGAAATGCTTACAGGTGCCTTTACAGGTTGAAAGTCTGCATAAAAACTGCTACAATAGACATCAATTAGCTGGTAGATAGCCATGGATAATTCACTTGTCACCCTTTCTATCAAGCCTGTTGGGAAAAGGATAGAAGGTCATGTATGAGGAGTCATCGTTATCATAAGCTTTCCGTTTCCGTTTTGAAATCTTACTACAAAACCTAGAATTTAATTAAAACAACCCAGTACCAGCTGAAGCTGACTAACCACTTCTACTTCTGAATGCAGTCTGGTTTAGTTGCTAGTAGCTTAGCTGTCTAAGCTTTCATCTTTCCAGTGCAACAAATTTTGGAAGCATGGCCTTTTAATCACAGATTGCAGGTTTTTAATTATTAATTTGATAATCTGATCAATTGTAATTCGGTAATTTTAAGTTGTTTGTGATTTAAAATTATTTTGTGACAAGGATAATTATTTTCTAGATTGAGTACTTCAAACAAGTCTCATTTAAAGAATAAATTTTATTATGCTATAAAATTATGCTATAATGGTTACCATTAACTGAATATTAATCATACAAATTGTGCCGATATAAGAAGAATGATAGTAGTACATGGCTGGGATTTGAAATAAGCTTGAAAGGAAAGATTTATGAAGGTTACTAAATCTCTTCAAAATCAAAGACTTTGAGTTTTACCATTAGTTATTTAAAAGGAGCTTACTGACTGTTCCTAAAAAAGTGACTTATCATGAGGAAAGAAGAAATGACTAGGAATAGGGGCTAATAGATTTCCCTAGGCGGCTGAGGGGGTATTGAGAGAGTAAGCACATCATTAGAAATTACGCTCCTGGGATCTGCTGTGATACGATTCCAGTATGTGCTGAATCAAGTCAATCAGTCTGGTCTTCTATAAAAACTTATTACTTTCTTTTAAGTTCTTTCCGAGACACAGGTTGCTCGTTTTTTCAAGATGTTTAGAAACAGAAAGGTCATTTTCCCCTAATACTCTGCAGGTGTCTGGTGCTCAGGTGTTTGGGTGTTTCAGCTGCATCAAACCCTGTCCCTGATAGCTCTCCCATAATTCAATGTTTTGTATGTTAACACATTCTATTGTTCACTTAGCAATTCATATATTCATACAAAACTTGTAAGATAACAAATAAGTAAAATTTCTATTTTGAAGCTGTGCCCTTTGTTGGAATAGCCTGATGGGACAACCAGCAGAGGAGCTCTAAATTAAATCTGACAAATGAGCAGTGGCAATTAATGAACCAGAAGGGAAAGAAGCACCACGATAGTTTAAAAGTGTGTGTGGGGGGGCTCATTGTATTCTGGAGGCCCCCCAACAAGGCGTCCCCTAAACAAAGGGCACAGAGCATTACACCTTCATAGAAACATCATTGTCCAGTCCCCAGAAGGCACTGGAGGGACTCTGAGGCAGATAGCACAAGTTTATTATCAGTATTCTCAATCCTGAGCAGCTAAATAGACATCTACAGCACATCATCAAGTTGCACTAGGGATCTTTTTAATTCAAATTCTAGCAAACATTTGGGTGAATGTTGATTGAGATAATTTCTCAAGCTATTTTTAAAAGAGATTTATTTGAAAGGCAGAGTTACAGACTTTCCATCCATGGTTCACTCCCCAAATTGAGGCAACAGCCAGGGCTGAGCTAGGCCCAAAGCAGGAGTGGGAAACTCCATCTGAGACTCCCATGTGAGTAGCATGGACCCAAGCACTTGGGACATGTACTACTGCTTTTCCAGGTGCATTAGCGGGGAGTTGGATCCCCAGTGGAGCAGCCGGATCTCCAGCTGTTGCTAATATGAGATGCTGGCACGGCAGGCAGTGGCTTCACCAATTCACTGCACCAAAACGCTGGCCCCTTATGCTCTACTCTTTACTTTCTGAACAGAAAGGGAAGTTATTGGTTATAATTTGCCTCTTTAAGTTTGTGTAGAAATGCATGCTTACGCATTTTGCTTTACTTCTAGAACTCTGGAGGGGGAATGCATTTCAAAGAACATCACCAAAATGTACTAATAACACCAGAACCTGCCTCATTACTCCTATAATGAAGTTATAACATCATGAAAATAAAACAGGGACATTATATCGCAAGTTGACCATCCTAATTGAAAATCTGAAACGTTCCAAAGTACAAAAAAGAATGCTAACATGATACCACAAGTGGAAAATTCCACCTCTAACCTCATGTGGTAGTTGCCGCATTATGGGAGCTGGCAGTTCAAGAGGGTTCATCCACAGTGTTCATTCATTCCAAAGACAAACACTGAGAAGTCTGACCTGGAAAGACACTTACCTTCACTCTGGAGGGCCTGAGACCGCCAGTCAGTCCGTAGTAACCCACATGCCCGGCCCCCCAAGGGCGCACAGCTTTTAAATAGGGCAGGAGTAAACCAGCACAATTGCTTCCTAGTCTACACAGCTGGGCGTGTCACTGGTGCTCCACAAGCCACAGCTGTCTTAGATTCCATTGGCCCTGCCCACCAGATTCTACTCAAGGTGGGTGGGGGTGGGAGAAGGGAGATCTGTCCGTATTCATGGCTGAATTTTATATGAGATGACTTTAAGCTATGAGTATAACTCCTATATGAAACATAAATGAATTTTGTATTTATAGTGGGTCTTAGTCCCAAAATATCTCATTATGAACTTTCAGCAAATATTCTCAAAGCCCCTAAATTCCAAAACCCGAAACACTTCTGATCCCAAATATGTCAAATAAACAGCACCAACATGCAAGTGAAGCTTATTAGTTAGAATCTGACATGATTTATCATAGAATATAAGTCTCCTGGAACACTCCTGTCCACAGTTTTGTGGTTTCTCATATTGTAACTTTTGAGGACAATGGGGAAAGGCGACCTCATTCCAAAATTCCTAGTAAGAAAAGAGGGCCAGTTTGGCAGGTGTTCCTGCAGCTGGTCCATGCCAGTTACTGTCACTAAGAATGTGGGTCACTATTATTGGAGGATGTCCATCCCTTCCTTCCCTTCCTCTATGCTGTTCTGGAGTTCTATGAATACTGGCAACATGGAAGTTTGCACCAAAACAGGTGGAGTTGTATTTCTCCATACTTCTGCCACCTCATTGTTCAATGTGATGTGAGGTGGGGAACTTTCTCAAATATACCACAATGTCATCTTTTGAGCTGTAGGGACCAGAGTCTAGAGGATATCCCTATAATCCTACTGAAATCATGAAAGGTGTTATTTGGACTCTTGTGAGTGAGGCAGTTCGAGTAAAATACTCAGAGTGTTCCTACACCAAATACCATGTGCCTGTGAGAACAAGGAAAACCCTGAACACACCTTGCACGTTGCAGACTATCATATCCTTTATGCATTTTAGAAAAACTGAGGATCAAAACCTTTAGCCTATAACCACAAAGTTCAAAAGTGGCAAGTTTCAGTTCAAACCAGTTGTGCCTGAATCCTAAAATTGGAGTCTGCTTTATAGCACACAGTCACCACGTACCCACTATTTTCTACAGAGACAATGTCTCCCGAGGCTTACAGTTTTATATAGGCTCAGAGTCTCTGCCAACAGTGATTATTCCAGAATCCAATCCTCTTTCTTGTAAAATTAGCTTGGGCTCTCCAATAGAACTTAAATGTAAATGTGAAATTAGTGACCTCAGAGATACATTTGCAATTTTTACATCAAAATATAATTGGGTAAATAGTAAAATTTTGCTTGCAGTGTCTTGGGATGGCTATAAGGGTACTTTCTGTATTATTTTAATTTTTGTAGGTCTTTTGACTTTTCTCAGTACAAAAAATCTTAGAAAAAGCTTGAGTGTAGATGTTTACTTCCCAAAGATTATTCACTTGGACCATCAAAAAGGATTTTAGAAAAGCATTTTTCTATAAAAATATGTGTGACTACAGTGTTTGATATTTGAATAAAATATTTTTAAAAATTGGGTATTACACCCTAAGGATTATGTGTGATAAAAATTATTCTCTTTCTTCATTTGAAAGGCAGAGAGATGGTGTGAGGGGGATGAAAACAGATAATTGGAGAAAAACAGAAAGGAGTTGAGAACTCATTTTGGGTCTCTAATATTCATGATAGGGACCCCACTACTTGATCCTCACCTACTGTTTCCCAGGGTACGCATTAGTTGAAGCTGAAATTGTGAGCAGTGCCAGCCAGCATTTGAATCCAGATACTCTGATATGGGAGGTGGTAATCCCAAGTGGCATCTTAATTGCTATATCAGATGCCCATCTCTAAGTTTTTAAAAAATATATTTTAAAAATAGTTGAGTACATGTATAATTACCTTTTGCTGAGGTCTCAGAATCTTGATGAAAATTCTGAAAAAAAGGGTAAAAACATATTTTTTATTCAAGCAACAAACTCACAAATTAAACTAGTAATGTCTAAAACAAACACTAAGGTTTCTCTGAAATGAGAAAAGATAAAACATTTCTCTTTATCAAATATTGATACTGCTTATTATACAAAGGAAATCTAAATTGTATGATGAAAGAAAACACTTCTGAATATTGCCATTAGCAACATAGGTTATTTTATTTTTCAAAAAGCAAGCTCCTAGAATAGGCTCAGCCTTTTTCAGCATTTTTGGAGTAGTTCTGTAAATCCCATCTAAGCTCAGTCTCCCTTGCATGACAGTGATTAGTTTTTTTTTTTTATCAGAGCATTTTTCATCTCTGTTTAGTGTGCCCAGATCTTATTAGCAATCATTCATATGCAAGTTTTGGGCAGCAATAGAAAGAGGAATGGAAGGCAGTGGGCAAAATCACACAGAATCACTATATAGTTTCATGTCCTTCATTCCTTTTGGAGAATTAAAAAAAAATGATAATCAAACATTTGAGACAAATAATACAATCATATCCTAAATAAAAACAACAATCTGAAATTTGATTTTGTTGTAATTTTCATTGTCATTGTGCTCATGTCCATTAGTGTAGTGACTCTGCTTATGTAATTATTTATTTATATGTTTGCTGGAAGCCTAAAATTGCTTTAAGATTTGCTAGAGGTAACATTATTATCAAGAAAACTATATGGAGTGTTTCATTGATTCACTAAAAGAAGGTATTACACCAAATAAAATTATATTTTCTAAAAAGAATTTTAATTGCACAGTAATTTTTTAACATTTAAACCTTTTTTTAAAAAAATAAAAATTGAATAGTTGGCTTTTAAGGAAATCCAATTAACTAAAAGCTAGATTCCTCAATTAAATTATGGAGTAATTTTGTTTTCTGTAACAAAGATCTTGATAAGATAAGATATGCCTTTAGAGAGGGAACATTTCTATCATTTAAAAAGTATCATTAAATTTATAAATAATATTTTCTTTTCAGAAGCATTTATATTTCAGAACATTTCATCTGACTATATTTTTAACTACTATCCCATACACATGAAGGTTCTTCAAAAAGTTGGTGGAAAAATAAATGAAAACATAACTTTAGTTTGGTACAAATGCATGTTGAAACCTATTAGAGATTTTTCATAGTTTGTATTGTCCATGAACAGTTCGAGGACTCCTCATAAGGTGTCCACTCCATCCATGTGAGTGAGAATATGCAGGATGCTAGCTGACATAACTAGAATTCAATTTATTCAGAAACATAGACTTGCATTATAAAGTCCAATCACATCCATCTACCCCACAATATGAAAGACCATAATTTTCCTACTGTAGTTCTTTAATTGTGTGGAAATACACTATGTGAGCTTCTGGAATATAATTTGAACAGTGGGTATGTTTTCAGTACTGAGTGGGAGTAGAATAGAATACTACACTTGTGATAAAACTTTTAATCTTGCCAAAATGTACATTCAGAAGTATCTAGTTACTTCCCTGTGTGGCAAGAAATCATCTCTTGTAAATTGATCAAAAATGCAGCCAAGAAAAAGGAAAGCTTCTCAAATTTCAGAGTTTATTGGCAGAAAACCCATATTTCTCAATATCTCTTCAATGTTGAGTTAGTAGTGAGTGGATAGACTGAATTCTTTTGGCATTGTTAAATGCACTTTATATTGCATAAAATCTGTTAAATGCACATACTATGTGTGCCAACATTCTCCTAGGTGAACTCACAAGATAGGATGGGAATGTGAATGCAGATGATGGAGAATAAATGAACGTTTAAAATCTTCTCAAAATAAATAGGATTATATTTTATATTTTTGCATTAAACTATTTTGGCTGTTGCCATATATTAAACAGTACTCATAATTGTAAACTCTTTTCTTTGTTGCATGCATGTAACACACTCCAGATTTATTAAAATATAAGATGAATATTTAGATATTTTGAGTTATTAAGCTACAAAGAAAAATGACACAAATTTTAGTGCTTGTAAATACATAAGAAATATAAGATGTGTATTGAGCTTTCCTTAGCATTATAATTGTTTGTGGCTTTCCTGGGAAATAACCAATTTCTCTGTAAAGTGTTGTTTTGATTTCAGATATATTGAAAGTATTATATTTCTGAGAAAATTGCCATTTTTGTTCTTTTATGGAGTTTCAGAATGAATGTTCTGAAGATAAAGCTTCCTGTGTCTAGGAATACTGTAACATCATTTCAACTGCTTCATTATAAATTATGTTTTCCAGATTCTTTGATTATTTGTTGCTACTACCTACTAGGAGTCAGACATAAGAGTTGAACATAACAATTATTCTTAACAGATAGGAAGATAGATGTCCACATTCTCACATCTGGTCCCCACCTCTTACAATGGCTCCTATTTGCCACAGGGCTAGCCATACTCAATGGCAGTGACATGATTGGGATCTGTCTGGCCTCTGTAAGAATTACAACCTTCCTCTTGGCCCCATGGGGAAGATTCTCACCGTCTGCCCCCAGCACCATCCTCACTTCCTCCAGTAATAATCATGACTCTCATTCAAGCTACACTAGCATGTGGTTCATTCATTAACATTATTTCCTACACTTGAATAACCCTAAAAATCTTGTGTTATTTTTTCTGTTTTAGAGATGAGGACAACTGAAATTCAGTGAAAATAATTTTTCAAAGAATGTTAGCTAGAAATGGGTAGATCTTGCATTCAAATGATGTTTTTATTTCCCTAAGCTCATTGTATTTCACTGTTAGTTCTAGGAGCTTTTAACATCTCCAAAATATGAGACTTAAAGAAAAAGTAATTGCTTGTTTAAAGTGAACTCTCACTCCCTTGGTAACTTACTTAACTTCATGTATTAAGAGGCTCTTTGTTAGCACCATGTAATTCCCAAGTTTTTCAGTTTATCAAAATGTTTATTTTGAACACATGTGAAGGTATATTTTCCAAGACTATGGCATAATTTTTTCACTCTGACAGAATGGAAAAATGTACTCAAATTAAATGTGATTACATCAGATTTGTTACATAAGGAATAGGTCTTAATATTCACACAAAAACAGTCTTGGAAACAATACAACTATTCTATTTCCTTTTATAATGAAAATATAAAATAGTGTTATCCCTTTAAGCAAAATTTAAATAAATAAATCAGCTTTAGATATTAAAATTTGGGGTTTATTGATATTATATTATTTAAACACTATGAAACTATTTTCGATATTGTTATGTACCATCAAGCATTAATTACAGTAATTCCTCGTCATCCACATTTCACTTTGTGCAATATCTTGCGGAGAACTGTGATTGAAAATATTAAATGGAAAATGACTGATGTACGCAAGTTATAACTTTTAAATTGAGTGCCATTCTGAGTAATGGGATGAAGTTTCACCTTGCCTTGGACAGGAACCATCCCTTGTCCATCCAGTGCGCTAGTCACTTAGTAAGCCCTATTGTTTATCAGATCTCGGGTTGCCTGTGACAGTGCTTGTGTATAAGTGAGCTTTCCTTTACTTAATAATGGCTGCAATGTACAAGAGTAGTAATGATGGCAATTTTATTACAGTATACTGTTGTATTCTAATTTGGTGATAATTATTATTGTTAATATCATAATGTGCCTAGTCTATACATCAAACATTTGTATTTATAGCGAAAATATAGTTTACATAGAATTCAGATATGTCTATGGCTTCATGTATACCCATGGGGCCTTGGAACATATCCCTATGCAAATGAGGACTACTATGCTCATATCACTATTATTATTATTTTATCTTTCTGTTTTGTCATCTGCTAAATGTGTAACCAAATTTATTTTTGTGATTCATTTATTGTGACCCAATTGTCTTATTTTGAGGGGTCAATAATTATACTTACAATTACATATGAGATGTCTAAGATTTTAAAAAAATAATGCTCTTTTAAAAGAAAAGAAAATCAGAAAATTATTACAGGATGTAAGATCCAGAAAAAAGTCACCCAGAAGTCGTAGAAGCAGTGTGTACTGCAAATTTGACAAAATATAGCACAGAACTGATTTCTTCTTTCCTAAATATGACTTGCCCAAGCAAGTATGGGCATTTATACTTGTATACACTGGTGCACAGGAGAGCTATTAATGCCTATGCACACATTTGTATGGAAAGCCCATTCAACTTAATAAATTGTAGGACTGACTTCAACTTCTCTTGGAATGTTTAAATTGTTTACAAACTTCAAAGGTGTAATGAACTCCCTTTTAATTTAATTAAATTCATTTGGCATAATGGAATCAAGGTGCCATTACTCCCCAAATAAATGAAACATACTGTGGACACACACACACACACACACACACACAACTACATGCACAGATATTTAGTTATTATTCAAAAGTCTTTCTCCTTAATTAATTATTGAGCTGAGGTTTAATAACAGTGTAATAAATGAATATATTTACCTCTGATTTTCTGTGAAGCATTAGATTTAGTTCATTTACTGCATCTGTGATTTGTTTGGTTTCCACACAGGCCAGAACACTGCATATATTTTTAACTTCTTCAATAATATTATTCACATTTTGCTGTGGATGACAAGATTAACAGCTTAGTATTTGTCAAAATCGAGAAGATACTAGTTTATCTAATGTCTTCAAAATACATCTTTGTTTGAAAAGAAAATAGAATAAAATATTCTTAGATGAAAGTTCTGAAGATTCTCATTATTTTGTGAATTTGTGTTAAGTGAATGCTCATGGGTAAGTAACTTAACTCTAAAGTTAGGTTAAGGGAAAGGGGAAATAACAAAAAGGAAACAAAGGAAAGGGGGAATAACAAAATAACATTGACAAAGTTGTGATGGGTGCCAAATAGTTTGAAAACAAGCTCATGATGGCAGGTCCTTATAAAGCTTCAGAACATATGGTTTTGGAACGAGTGTTCCAAGGAAAATTTGCCAAACTAGATTCTCGTTTCAGACCAGATTTGGGACAATCAATTATGTTGTCAGGGTATTTGGTAATCATTGGATCACACTATCCTTCAAGCAAAAGCTGTTTCTAAATAATCAGTGATGACAAACATCCACAGTGCATGTCATCCACATGACAAATTCTTCTAAAAATCAAAATTCCGCCTGCCTTGAAGCTATACACAGATTTTAGAATCGCTGTTCTAAGAGCTTTTCATTAGCTTTTCTATTTTTTAACTTTGCACAGGTTCTCAATTAAGCCTTATTTAAAAAGGACCTTATTTTTCTCCATATATTATTATTAAATACGATGAGAAATCTCTTTTTCTTCTTAAATCCATGCTAGTCATCTTTCATTTTACAGTACTTTTATGTACATTATCTATACTACAAACAATCCTGGCTTTCAAAACACATCAGCTTGGTCATAGTACCACAGTCATTTCCATGGAGGCACAGCATATTCTAGGAAGAGGTGAAAGATTTTTTTTTTTGTTTTTCTGACAAAGATAGGAATTCAAAGTACAAAAAGATTTTAAGTGTATTTATTCTAGAGCACTCATTAATAAAACATTATCAAAATAAATATACTACATGAATTTTACATGAGTGGAATACTATTTTGTGTCTTTTATGGCAAAATAATACTTTTGAATATGTCAACAGTACCTCTAAGTGTTTTTACAAATACTCAAAACTGTTTACAAAAACTGAGGAAGAATAACTAATTAATACTATGAAAGGCAAATTCTGAGGTTTGAAGCATAAGAACAGTTTTCTTCAATGTGCTGAAAATAAGAAGATAAAATTTAGTTGGGATACATTTTAAGTCTTTCGCAGATTAAAATACCCAATTCTAAGAAGAAAAAGTTGCAAATAATCCATATAGAAATATGTCACTTGTTTCATTTATGTGAGAAATCAGTAATAGTCAGGGGACCGGTGCTGTGGTGTAGAAGGCTAAGCCTTTGCCTGTGGCGCTGGCATCCCATATGGGTGCTGATTCCTGTTCTGGCTGCTCCTCTTCCAAGCCAGCTCCCTGCTAATGGCCTGGGAAAGCAGTGGAAGATGGTCCAAGCACTTGGGCCCCTGCACCCACACGGGAGACCTGGAAGAAGCTCCTGGCTGCAGATCGGCCCAGCTCCAGCTGTTGCAGCCATTTGGGGAGTGAACCGGTGGATGGAAGACCGCTCTCTGTGTCTCTCCCTCTGTCTGCAGCTCAGTTTGGTGGAGGTAGGGAAGTTGGCAGCACTGGGGCTAAGATCCTTGAATAAACTCCAAGCACTGAATAAATCGCTGACGTGGCAGAGGACCCAGGGAATCACTGAGTAAGCTTCTCTGTCCCCTCAGTCTCTGCGTGAAGAAATGATTATCTGAGAAATTGAAACCCTAGTCTGTGTTAATGCGCTTTGTGCAGTGTTAATTTACACCACACAAAGGGAGAAAAATTAATATGAAAAAATTGTATTAAAATTTTTAAAGAGAGAATTGATATAAAAATTGTACTGGGTTATCATAACTATTTTAAACCCTAGCAGAACTAAGTGCAAAATTAAACACGTATCAAACTGCAAGCCTTAGTTTCTCCCAAAATACACATTTATAAAAAGATATAGATAGACAGACACATGAACACACACACACACTCCATAGCAAGAGGGGATTAATCATCCTTCAGTTCCCAACTCCTATGGTGAGGGATCCACAGTACATGAAACTCTATAGGCACACAGACAAAATATAGGATTAGCACCCTATTTCAGGAGCTATTGAGCAAGATTTGGGCATAATTTTTATATATGTGATACCTGGCAAAGTGATGCATATGATTATCAAGAGAGAGAATTTAGACACAGAAGACTTGAAAACTCAGTGCACAACATTTTAGAACATCTAATAATTCAGTGATGGAGGAGAAAGTTTGAGTCACACTTGGAGTGCACACTGAAGACACAAGTCCTAAGTCACAGCTTTGTGGACGTCAACAGAAAGTTAGTGTGTGGTATTGGGAAATTTTGGCTTGGAAGAGGACAAATGAAACATGATAATCATTTTCAAGTAGTTTATGGTCTTTCAGGTTAAAGGGGGAGCAGATTTATTTTAAGTAGATTTAAAATGATAATTAGGACAAATGGTTACAGATGTAGAGTGTTTTCTTTTTCTTTTTGGCTTGATATTGGAAAAATCTTTGTCCAGATTACTTGTCCAAACACTGAGTAGGCTGCCTTGTGAGTTGAGAGTGCCTCTACATTACAGGCATGCAAATAATCAGGAGTGGTTAAAAGAGCTTTTTACATTTTGTAACAGTTTGGATTATACCGCCTCTGAATTCTTTCTAACTTTGATTCTTTGGGTCAATGAAAACAAAAACAAGAATAAGATTATGATGTTATTTTATGACTTTTATTCCAAGCTTATCTTATAAAATATTTGATACATCATAGATTTTGAAGGAGTAGCATTCTAATACTTTAAATTTTAAGTATACCTGAAAAACATTTTGAGCCTCAGAGAAGGCTGGTGACAAACATTCTTCCTCCACATTTTTCTGGAAAACAAAACAAGAAACAAGAAAGAATTAGAGTTTTTTCTCCCTTTCATTTAGCTGTGATGGATATTAAAGTAATACACATTTCAACAGCCAAGCACAGCTTGTCATCTTCCAGACATTATGTAGACTTTAATGAGTTTCCATTTATATATTCAGATTGAAAATGATCAAATGCAATTAATGAGTTTAGAGACAAATTGAAAATTTAGTGCTTTTCATTCCACTTGCAGTAGTTAGGACTATCATAAAAATGTTTTTCTTAAAGTTTAAAAACAGTCTTTGGAGTTACAATTTGGCTTAAAATATAGGACACTGGTCTCACGGTAAGAATGAAAAAGTCAGAAAATACACAAAATCATAACTTTTCCTGACCCTAGCACAGATTTGAGGTGACAAGGTGACCATGTAAACTGAGCTCCAGTGTGACAGGCTCCTCCAAGGAGAAATGGGACATGCTTCTTTGACAGAACACAGTAGAAAGAGGAGGCCACCAGACAACTGGATAAGAAGAAAACATCTAAAATTTCAACAAATTCTTAAAGGTCAGATGTGAACTAGCTTACCAGTTTGGAAGACCAGGTAGCTCAAGATATAGGATAAGCTTATAATCTCTTGCAAGCTCTTTTTCCACCGATACCTACCAATGTTGCAGGGCAAATATCAAAGGCAATACAGACAACTTGTAGGCCGGTGTGCAATGGTGCAGCTGATTAGGTCAGCTGTATCTATGGGGTAGCCATAAAGCCCCTTCCACTCGTAAGCATCCTACTCTCCCAAGAAGTGAAAATATTAAGCATCTGGGGGTTGGACAGGGAACCCTCTATGAGCCTGAGCCCAAGCAAAAATCCTTTGCATCTCCAGAAAAGGTAGAAAGCAAGAGAGTCTGCCTGTGCGGAAGAGGTGGGCAATAGGTGAAGACCCTTTGCTGATGAGGGTAAGGGAGAAGCAAAACCCTTGTGATCCCAGAGAGGGGAAAATAAATCAGCTTGGGCCCAGCATCCTACTGGGATGACAATCAGAGATCAGGTAAGACTGGGAGGAAGAGCAGTAAACTGCCTCCTGCCCATGGTTAGATGCAGTCACAGGGCAGGCTTTGCCTGCTATATGGAAGAGTCAGAAATGCTAAGAAAATTCCAATAATTAAGCTTAATATAATGTCAGTCTGAGGCTGTGATTGGTTTATTACAACATAAAATCTACTTGACTCCACCACCAAAAACCTCCATTATTTAGGAATAAGCAGCAGCACACTACTTCTGGGAGAGGGACAGACATATTGAAAGAGACCTTCTCTGCGGCACAGGAAAGCAGGACCTACTGAAACCTGAGGGTAAAGCAGGAACACTGAGAAAGACCCCATCCTCCCCAAATTCAACAGCAAGCACAGGTACTAAGCCAACTACTGGAGAAATCGGAAGTGTGCAGTGCTCTGAAGATAGTGATCATGACAAAACAGAAATAAATCTCAAATAAGGTCCAGATCGTATAATCCTTACATCCTAATAGCGCAACAGAACACTACTTCCAGGCACAACAAACTTCTCCTTGATCTTTAATATTGTTCCACACATGATGTCTAGCATTTGTTGAAAAATTAGCTCCCACACAGAAACCTATTGCCAATTAACAAATACATAAAGAGCAATTAAGAAAAGTAATGAATAAAACCACCCCTGGAAATAACCTAGATGTTAGAACTGTTGTGCAGGGACTTTAAAATAACCAACATTACATGTTACAAGAACTAGGGGGAAATGTGGATAACATATGCAAATATATGGGTCCATTTAGCAGAGATGTAGAAGCTTGAATAGTCAAACGGAATTATAGAACTCTAAAATATGCAGGATATTAAATGTGACTAAGTCCTTCAATGAATTCAACAGCATATTGAGCAAGCTAAGGAAAGTATCAATGAAAGTGAAAACTGATTAAGAGAAATTATCCTGACTGAAAACAAAGTGGAAAAGAGGAATATGGGGAAAGCAAGAGCACAACATCTAAAAGCTGACATAGAGACTCATATGTATAATTAGGGTTCTGGAGAGGTAAGAATGAGACAGAGATATTCAAAGAGACAGTGGACAAACATATAAAATGTATGGGAGGGGCCGGCACTTTGGCATAGCAGGTAAGGCTGCCGCCTGCAGTGTCAGCATCCCATGGTGGCGCTGTTTCAAGTCCTGACTGATCCACTTCCAATCCAGCTCTCTGCTATGGCCTGGGAAAGCAGTAGAAGATGGCCCAAGTCCTTGGGCCCCTGCACCCGCATGGGAGACCCAGAAGAAGCTCCTGGCTTTTGGCTTCAGATTGAACCAGCTCCCACCATTCCGGCCATTTTGGGAGTGAACCAGCAAATGAAAGACCTCTCTCTCTCTCTGCTTCTGCCTCTCTGTAACACTGCCTTTCAAATAAATAAATAAATATTTAAAAAAACAGATGGAATGCTACTAAGATTCAGAGGGAAATATATGAATTGAAAGCTCTAAAAATGAAGTTCTTTGTCAATTTTTGAATTTTTTTAGAAATTGAATACATAGATAATTTAAATCTTTTCCACAGAGAAAATTCAAGAGCAAATAGTTTAATTAATGAATGAAATAATTTTCTAAACACAGTGCTCTGAGCAGCCTGTGGTACAGCAGATTCTTTTATCTGATGTCAGAACTTTCCATAAAAATATGGCAATTAAGGTTGTTGAATTGATGTAAGAATAGGCACATAGATTCACAAAACAGAATAGAGAATGTAGATCTCAAATAGATGGCTACACATACATGGATGCTTGTTTCTGACAATGTTCCCAAGATTATGTAACTGAGGAAAGCATATCATTTTAATTGAATGACTCAATGGGGCTGGTGTTGTGGAGCAGCTGGTTAAGCTGCCTGCGACACTGTCATAGCAGTTGATCATTGGTTCTTGTCTTGACTGCTCTACTTCCGATCGACTTCCTGCTAATGTGCCTTAGAAACAAGTGCATGGGCCCCTAATGCACATAGGAGACCTGGATGAAGGTTGTGGCTCCTGGCTTCATCCTGGCCCAGCCCTAGCTGTTGTGTGACCTTCTGGGTAGTGGACCAGCAAATGGAGGGTCTTTGTCCCCGGCTCTCTCCCTCTCTCTCCTCCCAATTCTGTAACTCTACTTTTCAAATGAATAAAATCTTTTAAAAATAAATTTGTTATTAAAAATCTAAATATCCTTTTAGAAAAATAAAATATCTTTTATATTTATTCCCAAGCAAATAGAAACTTAGAATGGATCGTATACCTTAATCAACAACTAAAACTATAAATTGTTTTGAAAAAATTAAGAAAATACAGGTTAACTTGATTAGGTAAATCTTGAGTTTAAAGTGTATAAACTGTAAAACAAAAAAAACTAAAATTGACTTCATAAAAATTAAAACTCTTCTTTGAGTGACGTAAGTAAATGAAAAAATAAATAAGCCAAAGACTGGGAGAAAATATTTTCAATACATATATCATACATCTTACAGTTGAATTTCATCTGCACTATGTGAGAAATCTTACAGTTCAATAGCAAAAAGACATATAGCTCCATTTAAAACATTGGCAAAATATTTTAAAAGTTTCTTGAGTAAATGAGGTATGTGAAAGGTCAGCCTCCAGCATCTACAGTCATTAAGGAAAGGCAAATCAAAGACATGAGGGCCGGCGCGCGGCTCACTAGGCTAATCCTCCGCCTTGCAGTGCCGGCACACCGGGTTCTAGTCCCAGTAGGGGCGCTGGATTCTGTCCCAGTTGCCCCTCTTCCAGGCCAGCTTTCTGCTGTGGCCCAGGAAGGCAGTGGAGGATGGCCCAAGTGCGTGGGCCCTGCACCCCATGGGAGACCAGGAGAAGCACCTGGCTCCTGCCATCGGATCAGCGTGGTGTGCCGGCCGCAGTGCGCCAGCCATGGTGGCCATTGGAGGGTGAACCAACGGCAAAAGGAAGACCTTTCTCTCTGTCTCTCTCTCTCTCACTGTCCACTCTGCCTGTCAAGAGAAGAGAAAAAAAAAAAAAAAAAAAAAAAAGACATGAGGAACTACTGCTAAGTGTTCACTAAAACGGCTAAAATGAAACCACTGGTGAGATCAAATATTGGTGAGCATGGAGAGCAACAGAAATTCTCTTAAACTGCATATATGACTCATTAGGCAAATCTTAAAATGCAAAGAAATCAAATTTAGATACTAAATCTCTGTTGGATAAGTCTAGAGCAACGGCATCGATACTTTGAGTATAGCATTTTGCTGATTAGATGCTCTAGGATGGATTCAACTAGGTACTGACTCATGATTTTTTTCCATAAGTTAAACTTTGATAAAGTTGACCTAATAGGCCAAACATCATATTCAAAGTGAAAAGATAACGCATCGCATCAACTGGCAGAAAATACAATATTTTACAATAGAGTATTATAATATTTACAAATAACCAATAGAAAAAATATATTCAAAAGTTTTTATTAATCTATTTGAAATAGTTTAAAAAATGTGGGAAAATGGACACATGACAATTAACTGCTGGTTAATTTAAAAAAATAAAGAATTGATTAATAATCACTTATTAATAACCCACATATTGGGGTGAGCATTTGTCCCAGTGGTTAAGATGTCAGTTGGGTTGAGATGTCTGCATTTCTTTTCCAAGTGCCTGTTCTTGATCCTGGTTCTGCTTCTGATCTGGCTTCCTGTTAATGTGGATCCTGGGAAGCATCAAGTGATAGGTAAGATAGTTGGGTTCTTGCCACACAAATGGGAGACTCAGATTGAATTCTGATCTTCTGGCTTCAGCTTGGCCAATCTAGCTACTGTGGGCATTTGTGGGCATTTGGAGAATGAGCCAGTGGACAGCAGATCTTTCTGTGTAAATTGATCTCTCTCTCTGTCTCTCTCTCTGTCTCTCTCACTCTCTCTTATGGATGAGGCTAAAGCCAGAAGCCCAGAACTGAATCCAGGTCCCCCATGTGTATGCTAGGTACACCATGACTTGAGCCATCATCTGCTGCCTCCCAGGGTATGCATCAGCAGGAAGCTGGATGGGAAGTGTAGGAATCAGAATTTCAAACAAGCACTTTGATACAGGATGTGGATTTCCCAAGCAGCACCTTAGCTGCTGCACCAAGAGCCTACCTCTAATGCAGATTTCAATTTGCATTTTGTGGTATTTTATTGTGACCTGACATCATCTCCTTTATTTCTTTGAGTCTCCTTTTGTGACCTTTCAAAGTACCTGTGTTTCCTATTCCATTTTCCTTTTTATTCTTATGACTTTTTTGCTCCTTTCTTACTTTATCTTACACTTTGATATAAATGTAAATCAATTTTGTGAATTGTTTTCTCTTCTGGATCTTATATGATCCTCTGTTTCAGTGAAAGTGACAAAAATGGTAGCCACATGGCAATAAAATAACACCTGTACTTATTGTTCCTTGAATGGTTTTATCTTTGAATCACTGTACCATATCAAGCACATTGAATGCATTGTTGCCTTAATTATTAAAAACACCATTGCATCACATTTCATTATCTTCTAGGAAGTTTTAATAAAACATTTCCACATTGGTCAAAAGTTGATAAGGACACCTGTCTGACATTGGAATTTCTGCTCCTAAATTCTGCCGAACACTGTTATTTTTTTTCAGTTGTGTTTGAAATTGAAACTTCTGAAAACCCAAGAATATAGTTGTTTCTTACTAAGAAAGCTTCATTTCTAAAAAGCTAAATACACATTATGAAGTCTCTAAGTTTCCCTTCATTTCTTCTTATGGATAATATTTTCTGACTTTCTGTAGATGAACAGAGTTCAGTGTGGTTCTTAGAGAGGGACAAGGGTGAGACAACTATTATTCTGCCTTCCTCACTGAGTTACTTAAACCTAAACATCCGAGATGTCATGTTTTTCTGCTTGAGTCCATGTCACAGCCTCTGGGTCATGGGATAGATGGCAGAATTTGCAGGATCTTAGATCTTTTCAAGACCAGCAGGTGCTCCATGAGGCCAACACGGATTTTAAAGCAGGAATTGATTTTCCTGAATCTTGCTCCATCTCATTCACAATTAGTTCAACAGTTACTAGACGCCTGTGTTAGGTTTGTCATCAGTGCTAGGAATTGCTGACTTTCTGTAGACATCCTAATTGACACTTTAATCAGAATTTTGGACGTGATGTGTTAGAATCTACTAGGTAGAAGCAATTTTAAATCCGCAGTTGCTTCTTTCTCCTTGCTGAGATTTGGCTTTGCACTGCGTGGCTCTATGTACATGACTCGGTGGACACTGGCTATGTGACCATTCTGACTCTCCAGTTAGATTATCGACAACTGCTGAGTGCAGTTTTCACTTCCATTTGTCTTGATTCCAGTGAGCAAGTAATTCAGTAATTTCAATGAAGTAAGCATTCATTGAGAATTTTGGAGAAAATTCTTCCTCTTTTATTACTCTTACTTTTTCTGAAATTCTAAAAATAAAATAAATATAGAATACAAGATGAATGCAGAAAACATCCTGTACAGGTAAGGGTACGAGTGAAACAGAAGAGAGAAGAAAAACTGTCCAATGGAAAAAGCTCTATGTAAATTACCAAGAAACTTTGCTGCTTAACAAGATGGTCAGAATATCCAATGTGAAATGAGACAAGTTTAAAATATATTGAAATAATCATTCTGAAAAATGAAATATTTGGTAATATAAATAATAAACATTATTCAACAATATTCAGGTCATATTTATTCAGATGGCATGCTTATTATTTTCTCAAATCATGTATAACAATCTAAGCCTGGTTGATATGCTAAAATATTATTCTGTTTTGAACAATAATATCATTATATGAGTGTGCTTATCAAATAAATAGTCCAAAATTATGATTTGATAATATCACAGTCTATCTCTGTGATATAAGATAATTATTATTATAAGATAATTATTTTAGATTCTTCAGTGGAAAAATCTCAATGAAAATGCTCATTGTTCTACATTTAGTTCATCTGAAGACATTGTGACTGATTCATAGAATAATTCAGTTGTGGGTGATGACCACTGTTTGCCAGTGCTAAAGACTTGGAGCTGGTGCTGTGGCACAGCGCGTTAAAGCCTCAGCCTGCAGCGCCAGCATCCCCTATGGTACCAGTTTGAGACTCTGCTATTCTGCTTCTGATCCAGCTCCCTGCTAATGGGCCTGGGAGGGCCTTGGAGGAAGCAGAAGATGGCCCAAGTCTTGGGCCCCTGTACCCATGTGGGAGACCCAGATAAAGCTCCTGGCTCCTAGCTTAGAACGGTTCAGTGCCGGCCGTTGTAGCCATTTAGGGAGTGAACCAGCAGATGGAAAATCTCTCTTTCTCTCTGTCTCTACCTCTCTCTGTAACTGTCTTTCAAATATATAAAATTAAACTTCAAAAAAAGATGGTGTTCCTATGATGTATTCACACTTTTTAAGTCATACTAGAAAAATTTACAATGGTCAAGTGTTTCTTTTAAAGTGGATATATTGGAGGTTTCCTACATGTGTAATATGATCAGATTTCTAAATTTAGAAATTAAGAATTGTTACAAATTCACAAAAAGTGTAGTGGGGGAAAGGTGCTTATAACACACAAATAGTGCTGAAACAATGAAATAATTAAAATTCACTCACAAGTAGGTTACCATTATCTCAAATGTATCTTTAGCCATAGTTAAGAGATAAAAATTATTTAGACTGAAATTTTAATGTGCCCCAAGAATCAAGTTCTATACTAAGAAGAACAATTTTCATGGGGCTGGCACTGTGGCATAGTAGGTAAAGCCGCTGCCTGCAGTGCTGGCATCCCATATGGACGCCTGTTTTAGTCTCGGCTGCTCCACTTCTGACCCAGCTCTCTGCTATGCCCTGGGAAAGCAGATGAAGATGGCCCAAGTCCTTGGGTCCCTGCACCTGCATGGGAGACCCAAAAGAAGCTCCTGGCTCCTTGTAGCCATTTGAGGAACGAACCAATGGATGTAAGACTGTTTCTCTACCTCTGCCTCCCTTTAACTCTGCCTTTCAAATAAATAAATCTTTTTAAAAAAATCAATTTTCAAAAGTTTGAAGACCTGAGTTCAGAGAGGTAGTTATTATGACACTTTTATGAGACTTAAAACAATATAATTATGGATTCTTTTCACATCTGAAGCTTCCAGACTCAGGCCATACCCAAGGAAGAAAAGCAAAATTAAAATGAGAAGATCGCACCTTGGGAAGTAATATGAAGCCCGTATTTGTCAACGCCATGTCTACTTGTTTGTTTGGAATTCACATAACATTTGGTATCGATATCAAGAAATATAATTTATTATTTTCATATCTCTTTAATGCTCATTACTATTAGGAACAGCCAGCTGAGAGTGAATTATTTAGTGCAGAAAGATGCTTCGCTTCTCTAATTCACACAATTTCCTGTAATAATGTGATGTTTCATCTGTGGGGGATCAACTCTTCTCTGGAGTAAGAAGATGCAGGAAGTGCTCTGCCTAATGGACATCATTATTCGGATGCCCAACAGGTAACCGAATCCCACTCACTTTTAACAGAATCCATCAAGCAAGCTTCTCCTCTTTTCACTTATTTTAGTGAATTGTTGTCTCCAGGAAATCAGTCAGCAGTCGGGAATCTGGAGTTATTCTAGGCACCTCTTTCCTGTATTAGCCACAGTCATCCACCAAATCATGTAAATTGCACATTTGTACCTGCTTTGATTATGTCACCTCATCTCCATCCCTATACTAGAGGATTAGTCCACGCCCTCATCATCTCTTTGGGCTAATGGAATGCTCCTCTCATCATCATCAGTCATGTACAACCTTGAGTAATGGCCCCATGTCATCAGCTGATAATTAGAAAATCATTAAATTGGCCATAAAATGTCCATAAAATCCTATAATAACTTGGCCTGTCTGCCCCTTTTGTCTGATCTCTTTCCAGGCTCTCATCTTGAACTCTGATTGTAGCCATTCTAAATTTCACATAATTTCTTAATCACACGAGGCTGTTTCCTGGCTCTTTGGCTCCGTTCTTGTTGTTCTTTGCTGAAAGTTATCTGTACTCCCCACCTTTCTTCACACTGCTTCTTCTGTGACTGTAAAGCATAAACTTGTTTTTCAATATTCAGTTCAAATGGGTAAAATCGGTCATTCAATCTTATATGTCCTGTGTACACAGAGGTCTGTGACATTTACTGCAAATATCTTCTTACTTGTCAATAGTTTTCCATGATATGTATCTTCAAAAACTTGAGAAATTCTGGAAAAACAGCGGTTGCTCTAAACATGCTTATTGAATTAAAGGAGGAAATAATGAGTTAATACCTGGGTTTTCAATAAGCATTTCAGGTGGAAGTCATATTTTTTTATTACTGTTGAAAGGCACTGTCTGGAAGAAAAAAAAATAAAAACTGTGTTAAGATTGCATAGAAGAACTTACATTTAGCACAAACATCTCTATTTTGCCTATGATTCTATAGCAAGAATACTATAAAAAGAATTACTATTGACATAGTTTTAAAAATATTTCAGTTGGGAGCATTATCAAGTTTCTAGAACTTGATAGGCATTAAAAATATTTGGAAATTTAATAATTCCAAAGAAATCATGACAGATTAACAAAGCCTTTCAGTCTTGATTATTATATAAAACTACTCTCAATTCACACTATAAGTTGTGAAGGCAGTCATAAGCAGATAATGGCAAACACTGACATCAAGAAAAGTTAAATATGCAAAATCTCATAGAGAATTTCATTCAGAATTAATGGCATATATTTATAATTGATAGAGTTGCCTCTGACACTAAGCCTCTGCATTTTTCTTCCCTAAGTATTTCTTATTTTCAGAATCTTTATTTATGCTTAGCTAGAATACATGTGATTTGGGCTTCACTGTTCAAAATTATTTTCCCAAACACAATTACATCACCTTCTTATTTGTCTTGACATTTCTTGAATTAAATTGCCTAATCAGTTTCCCAACCCAAAACATTTACATTGCATCAATCTATTTCTAGTGACTGCCTTCTCACTCTGTGACATGATCACTGATATAGGAGCCCATCTGCCAGTTGAAAGACAAAAGTCAATGGAGGGCTGGTGCCGTGGCTCACTTGGTTAATCCTCTGCCTGTGGCACTGGCATCCCATATGGGCTCCAGGTTCAAGTCCCAGTTGCTCCTCTGCCAGTCCAGTTCTCTGCTGTGGCCCGGGAAGGCAGTGGAGGATGGGCTAAGTTCTTGGGCCCTGCACCCCATGGGAGACCAGGAGGAAGCACCTGGCTCCTGGTTTCGGATTGGGGAAGCGCCAGCCATAATGGCCATTTGGGGAGCGGGGGGACCAACGGAAGGAAGACCTTTCTCTCCATCTCTCTCTCTGTCTGTAACTCTACCTGTCAAAGAAATTAAAAAAAAAAAAGTCAATCGAGGGGTAGGAAGATTCACGCTGCATAGCACCTCAGAAAGGTAAGAGGTAGGGTTCAGACCACAACGGATGTGGAAACAGAACTCAGTGAGAGTTGGTAACTTGGCTTCAGTCACGGCTGTGGCTTTAAATATCTGTGTGGGAGCTGGCATTTGGCACAGTGATTAAGCCATCCCACATCCCCTATAAGAGAGCTGGGTCGGAGTTCCAGCTCTGCTCCTGATTCCAGCTTCCTGCGAATGTGCACCTTAGGGGGCAGCTGGTGATGGTTCAAGCAGTTGGGTCCCTGCAAGCCACGTGAGAGACCCAGATTGATATCTGGATCCTAGCTTCCTCTTGAATCCGATGTAGCTATCAAAGGCATTTGGGTAGTGAAACTGCAGGTGGAAGAACTTCATCTCTCTGCTTTTCAAATAAAGTAATAAAATTAATAATAAAAAAAAGAAGTACTTACTTGGGCGAAGGCCAACAAAATTCTTGAGCTTCCTGCTGTTTTTTTTTAACTTATAGAGAAACAGTGTTGGGAGATTTCTCTCTCTCTCTCTCTCTCTCTCTCTCTCTCTCTCTCTCTCACACACACACACACACACACACACACACAGGCACACACAAGCACATCCATTGGTGTCCACTGCACTGAGGCTCTACTGGAGGGCTGGGGGGAAAGGGGGAATGAACTGAAGTCAGAGCAAGGCTTCTTCTTACAGTTTTCCTCTGCTCCTCATTGCAGCAGAACATTTGCTTTGCCCTGATTCATCCCTGAAGACACTTGTCCCTGCCCAGTGGCCAAGGTCATCAGACTTCTGCAAAGCCTTAGGCAATGGCAGGGATAACACAAGAGGACAATGAGAACTTCCTGCTCTAAGTATCTTCTTACAGCCTTTGCTTCTTGACTCTCCTTACCCCAGTTAGCAGGCACTTTAAAGGTCATACCACCTCTCTAACAAATCAGTTCAGATAGTCCTTTGTCTTCCATATATTTTTACCTTTTAAAATTGTATCATATTTGATCTCTCTCTTTGTAACTCTTATTTCCTTAAACTTATTATGGAAAAAGGAAATCACAGCCTTTAATAATATACTACGTTGACAGGAATCTGCATCTGATCATTGTAGTTAGCTATTAAATGCACATTTGGATTAAATTATGTCTAAAGTCCTTTCTAGTCCTGGCCATTTTATGATTTTTTTTGGTGTGAGGCAATATTTTGATGTTGGGGGAAGTAGAGGAGAGGAGAGGAGAGGAATACATGGAAAAAATACTAGTTTATTGAGAAAATATGGTCTTTGCACAATCCAGACAGACTTGATTTTAGCACTTCCAGTAATGACCTGCGTGGCCTTGGGCAAATTATTTAACCACACAGAACTTCAATTTCACTGATTCTGAAGTAGAGTAACACATATTGGCCTAGGATTTTAGGGAGAATTAAAAGAGATAATGTATGCAAAGTGTATAATGACTGTGCAAAGTGATAAGTATTATAAATAGTCATTAAAATAATTTTAGTTCATTTTTATCAGGTTTTCCTTTACAAATTTATGACATATGTCTCCCACACAATATTCTTTGCTGGTTCATCTCAGAACAATTTAATATGAGATATACCCAAACTGTAGCATGGATGTCTTTTCTCAGTTTAGTTTCCTGATGGGTCTATTCTTACAAATAATGTGTGCATGCATTTAGATATAATAATTAATTAGGAGATGTCCATTTACTGTCACTTGGATTTTCTAATTTGAATTCACACTCACCTGTTGATGATATACCAATTATTTTCAGGAAGTTCCAGAGGAATTAAAAGAAGGAGATAGTGACTTTCAAAGTATGGAAATGCAGTTTTACAAAGAGCTTAGTGACACATGCAGAACCAAATTCACAAAATGAATGAGAAAAGGAATTGTTGAAAATGTATTAAGCATCAGCCGACATAGTTTTAAATGAATGTTAGATTGTTCTGAAAGGTGTTAGCATCTCTTCAAATATATCTGAATAACTGTGAAGAACAGATAATTACTAACAGAATTTGCCAAAGAATGTAATCTGTTAAAGGTACAATAGCTTTCATTGTACTAACGAAAGGACAGTTTTCATAATCAACTAAAAAATATTGTGATTTGAGGATCAGTCAGAAGTTGTCTTGGAATAGAAGTAAAAATGTCTTACCTGGATATTTTCCAAATATGCATAAACTCTAGAAGTTGGTTCAGATAAAACCGACTGTGGTCATCTTCCTGCTGTAGACAATAGAATAAATTAATATTTACAGAATTACTAGGATTGAGTACCAGATAAAAATAGGTCTGTAACTTCCTGCTGTCATTCTCCCCACCTCTTTTGATAATCCTCATTCATCATTTTTATTCTTTGTCTTAAGAGCTCACCAGATTCTCATTAACTGCATAAACCTTGATTTCAACAATGAGACAGAAAGCTGGGCTTTTGTTGAGGATAAGCCTAACGGACAGTTAAAAAATCCTGGCATCACCAAAGTCAATCTCATCTTTTCCTAGTAAATAAGAAGGCAGCTTTGCAGACACCAGATCTCCTTACACACATGCGCCTTTTGGGCTTTTTACATTTAGGCTGGACACCTCATAGCAGTATACGACTGAATATTTTGTTGTATGGTCTGCAGATATATAAAGAACTGCTCCATATATCACTTCACCATATTTTTGCTGCCAAAATGTCAGTGTAAAAAAGCTTTCTATTTCACAAGCACTAAATTATGCTCCTGAATGACAAGAACCAGCAGGATAAGTTCCAGGAGTTATTAGGAGTTATTAGTTGGTGTTGTGTTTTCTCCCGGTGTAATATGTCTTAAAATGTAAGTCCTATGGCCTATATGCAGGCACGCGCACACACACACACATATGCACACACATACACACAGGCACAAACACACACACAGACACACAGACACTCCCTTAAAGATGTGAATAGCCTTTCTGAAACAGACATTAATGAAAACCTGGTGTACAGAGAATGAAAAACAAATCTATCACATTGCACTATTTCACCACAAGGTGGCAGTAGGTTTGAGAGGGGAATGGGTTCCCCAGTGTCTGGGGTGTATTTTATCTTGTGTGTCAGTACACACACAATCTATTTTTTAAACTGGCCATTACAGTTACTGACAGAAAACATCAGAAGAAAACCAAACCTTTATATACCTTAAGGTCAAAGGTAAATTAATTTTTATATTGGTTTGTTTGGGGAAGATGAAGAAAGAAACTAAGTTACATGGAAAGAACTAGGTCATGACTACAAAACAGGACTTTGAGTGCACGTTGTTAGAAAGAAATACTTTGTAGAAACATGAGGATGTGATTTCTCTCTGGGAACTTACAGATGGAGTCAGTAGGATTGCTGAAATGGAAAATAAGTGGTGGCAGACAGGTTTCTTTTTGATTCAGAGAAAGCAAGACTTAAGGCATGGGAAGGATGGTAAATGGGAAGAGAAAATATAAAGTGAAAAACAGGTCAAGAGAAGACGTAAGATTTTAACATAATGCTTGACACTTGCCTTCTTTAAAATTTAAACCAAATCAAGCGCATAAATAATATAATTACTTGTATACTTTTGTAAAGCAAAATCATGCTTAATGGTAAAATCACGTTATTTGGTTTGCAGAGATATTTGGGATAAAACTGGTCTTTGTTATGTTTCCATTAACTAGACCTTTTTTTCCCGGAAAGAGGTTTATTTATTTACTTGAAAGGCAGAGAGAGAGACAGAGACAGAGAGAGAGGTATCTTTTACCCACTGGTTACTTCCCAAATATCTGCAGCAGCCAGAGCTAGGCCAAGCAGAAGTCAAAAACCTAGAACTTCATCCATCTGGTCTCCCACGTGGGTGTCAGAGACTCAAACGGTTGGGCTCTCAACTGCTGCCCTTCTGTGTACATGAGCAGGTAGCTGAATTGGAAGCACAGCAGCTGTAACTCGAACCAGTACTTAGATATGGGATCTGTGCATCCCAAGTGGCAACTTACCCCACTGTACCACAATGTTGGCTCTTGAAAAGTTGTTTCAAGGGGCAGGGGTTATGGCACAGTGGGTTAAGCCACTGCCTGGGATACCTGCATCCTATCAGGCTGACTGGTTCCAGTCCCAAGTACTCTGTGTTTCTGATCTGCCTTAGCACACGGGAAGGTAGCAGTGATGGCTCAAGTAATGAGATCCTGCCAAGTACAGGGGAGACATGGATGGAGTTCTAGGCTCCTGGCTTCAGTTTAGCTCAGCCCTCTCTATTGCTGGATTTGAAGAGTAAATCAGCAAATTGAAAATTCTCTCTCTATTTCTCCATCTCCCTCTCATTTTCACTCAGTCTATCCCTCTTTCTCTGTCATTCTGCCTTTCAAATAAACAAATAAATAAATCCTTAGGAAAAAAATATCTACAAAGACTATAGACATCTCAAAAATTGTCCATGCAATATACCATGCAATTTACTGTTTTCCAAAGTTGATAGGCATACCTTGGTTTTAAGGAGAAGGCTAAAAGCACCCTTTTTTCCCATACAATAATCTATTGCTATAAATGTTCTGTGAATATTCTACTGAGCCAGAAGAAAATCTTGCTTTATATGATAATTTTGGCAATATTTTTGAACATACTTGAGAGAGCTTGAAAACAGAACAAAGTTTAAAAAAAGAGATTCAGTCATTTATATCACATTTAATCAAGCTGTGACTTCTAAAATCTCGAAATCTGGAGTGATTTCTAAAGACTGTCAATTTGGTTCACGAATAATCCCTTGGAACAAGAATTAAATTATAACATTTCAGCATAATATAATCAAATTTAAACTAGAAATGTCATAAAAATGAATTAAACTTTGAAATGCCTTTTGTAATCAGAAAACTCCAAAGTATCTACTGAAAGGCAGTAATATCAATAAATTAAATAATATAATAACCATTACATTCATATTATTATGTAAAAAATATAACCACCAGTGATTTTTTTATTTTTTATTTACTATTATTGTATTTACTATTTTTATTGACCATTTTTTATTTATTAGAAATATAATATTTTGAAGAATTGTTCATAAATATTTGGTTCACAGGAGAGATTCTGAAAAATCAGAGAATTTGTACACCCCTTTAAAAATGAAATCAAGAGATAAAATTCACTATGTTCTTATACATATGCATGTATATAATTTTATAAATAAATTAAAAGTAAAATATTTAAAATATAGGTAGTGAAGAAAGAAGAATCACAAGATCTCAGTTAAGGTGATCAATACACCACATTTATCTCAGAAAGAAAATTGTATAAAACTCATTTTAAATTTATAAAACTTATTTTTATTTTTTTATCACATATGGGCTTGGCAATTGATAGCTTAATTTGCCCTGATCTTATGGGTATTAAAAGTTTGCAACAGAAGTTGTTATATATGAAATCATTGATATATCAACAAACAAAATCCTGGTATGCCCATATAAACATTATTTGGATACAACATATCAGCTTCTATATCTCTCAATATTATCAATATCATGAGCAAATTTTTAAGTGTTTAAATGTCATAATACTGGCTGGCACCGCAGCTCACTAGGCTAATCCTCTGCCTGCGGAATCGGCACACTGGGTTTTAGTCCCGGTTGGGGCGCCTGATTTTGTCTTGGTTGCTCCTCTTCCAGGCCAGCTCTCTGCTGTGGCCCAGGAAGGCAGTGGAGGATGGCCCAAGTGCCTGGGCCCTGCACCTGCATAGGAGACCAGGAGAGGCACCTGGCTCCTGGCTTCGGATCAGCACTGTGCGCCGGCCGCAGCAGCCATTGGGGGATGAACCAACGGACAAGGAAGACCTTTCTCTCCGTCTCTCTCTCTCTCACTATCCACTCTGCCTGACAAATAAATAAATAAATAAATGTCATAATACTTAGTGAAATAAGCCAGTCCCAAAAATACAAACATATGTTTTCTCTTACATGTGGTAGCTAATATAAAATATAAAAATGTATAGAAATAGCAAAAGAGTGCTTAAATGCAAATTAATGTTAACAAACTCATAGAGTCTTTAACAGTAAAATACAGAAATAGATTGGGCCATCCTGAAAGAGCTGACACCATGGCTTTATAACATCAGTAATTATTTCTGACTAGGCATAGAGACTGACTTAAGCTCTTCATTGGTGTTTCTCAATTACATTCTCATTAAAGCTGTATCAGGTAGGTTCTACTATTTTCACATATTTTTTTGGAAGAAGATTTTTTTTTTTTGACAGGCAGAGTGGATAGTGAGAGAGAGAGAGAGAGAAAGGTCTTCCTTTTGCCATTGGTTCACCCTCCAATAGCCGCCACAGCCGGCGTACCGCGCTGATCCGATGGCAGGAGCCAGGTGCTTCTCCTGGTCTCCCATGGGGTGCAGGGCCCAAACACTTGGGCCATCCTCCACTGCACTCCCTGGCCACAGCAGAGAGCTGGCCTGGAAGAGGGGCAACCGGGACAGAATCCACCGCCCCGACCGGGACTAGAACCCGGTGTGCCGGCGCCACAAGGCGGAGGATTAACCTAGTGAGCCGCGGCGCCGGCCTGGAAGAAGAAATTAAGGTGCAGAGATTTAATAGTTTGCCTGAGTGAATATTTCAGTTGAGCAATTGGAAATCAGGATCTCTGTTTTACACAAGATTCCAAATTAGTAAATTTAATACTCCTCATTTCTTACGATCAGAGCAGGGCCTACATGTGGCTACTTGAAAAAGGTCATGGAAAAATAACATTAAAAGTCTGAGTTTAGTTTGGTACAAATAATTTTAAATCTAAGTTAATTTTTTATAATTCATATTTTAATCTATTATTAAATTATTATTATTCAAATATATTTTAATCTATTATTAAAAATATTATTTTTACATCAAAATAAAATTATTTTTTAATCTGTTTTTCTAAGTCTTGTTGCAGTAGCTCATTAACCTGTGGATTCAGATATAAAAACAAGCACTACCATGAGCCTCTCATATTCACCTGCATCAGGTTCCCCAAACTCCGAGCCTCAGAGCATCACTATCCTTTCTTTGAAAGCACATCTCTATTGGGATTGGCTAATAGTTTATATCTCTCTATTAGGATGCGATATCTACAGTCTAGATCATGTGCTGAAGAGTCTTGTTCATCTCTGTTTCACCAGTATCTAGAATTGCAGATGCTCAGTTATTATTTGCTTGATGAACAAATTAACAATCTGTAAATGTGTTTTCTAAGATATAATTCTGAATTTGATTGGGCTTATTAAGACGTCCTTTATTATACGGTATCTTTGAAGGCAAGAACTCTATACGGCATGCAAAAAGGGTTATATAAATATTTGTTAAATTTTTTTAGATTTTATTTATATAAAGTACTTATTGTACTTCCTGGAAGTAAAGCCTTAAAGATTTTAATGAAGGATGAGGTCTTTGCCTTAAGTCTTGCATTTGGGATTTGCATTTGGAATATGATGCTAAAGCATTTTGAAGGAGTCTGGACTTGGTGAGATGGAAACACGAATGCCTTTCTTGTGTTCCATGTTGTTGTTGCCATGGCTCCCTCACTAGAAGTAACATGAAGCCCCTGAGCACTAAGCTCACTGAGGGCTGATCTTGTTTTTTTTCGGTTTTTTGTTTTTGTTTTTGTTTTTGTTTTTTGACAGGAAGAGTTACAGTGAGAGAGAGAGAGAAAGGTCTTCCTTCCATTGGTTCACCCCCCAAGTGGCCGCCATGGCTGGCGCACTGCACCAATCTGAAGCCAGGAGCCAGGTGCTTCCTCCTGGTCTCCCATGCAGGTGCAGGGCCCAAGCACTTGGGCCATCCTCCACTGCCTTCCTGGGCCACAGCAGAGAGCTGGCCTGGAAGAGGGGCAACCAAGACAAAATCAGGCGCCCCAACCTGGACTAGAACCCTGGGTGCCAGCGCTGCAGGTGGAGGACTAGCCTAGTGAGCCACGGCGCCGGCCGATCTTGTTGGTTTTGTTCACTTCTCTAATTCCTCATTAGTGTAGGGGCTGGGTATACAGCAGTTACACAGTGACTGCTACTGAATAAATTGGAATGTATAGAAATACCTTGGCCATTAGGTATATTATCATTTTTCTTTAAAAGTTCATTTATTTTCATCTACTGGAATGGCAGAGAGAGAGAGAGAGAGAGAGAGAGAGAGACAGGAATCTTCCATCCTCTGGTTCACTCTCCAAATGCCTGCAACAGCCAGGACCACGCCAGGCTAAATGCAGGAGCCTGGAACTGCACCTGGGTCTCCCTCATGGGTGGCAGAGGCCTGAGTACTGGAGCATCATCTGCTGCCTCCCAGGATGCATTAGCAGGAAGTTGACAGGAAGCAGCTTAGCTAGGACTCAAATCAGCACTCAGATATGGGATGCCAATCACTGGCTTCTACTCACCTCTATATTGACAATTTTCAACAACAGTATCAATATTAAAAATAGTTCTGGATTAGAAATGGATTTATACTCTGTCGAAATTAATCAAGCGTTGGTGATTTATTGTAGGAAGTAAAGGTTCATGAGTTAAGTTATCAAAAAGCACAAAAAAGAAACATATAACTTAATTCTGTATGATGCAAATGACATACTGAAAAGCAGACATTTCTGGTGACAAGCACATTGCAGCCCCAGGAATGGACAAGGATGCCAATGTACTTGAGAGAAAGATGTACTTGAGATAAAGGCAAAATTCACATCTAAAATATTTGAGAGTAGCCTGTCCACTCTAGGTATGATTCCCTTACAAGTTGGGAACAGGAATGCATAGCTTCTGAAGACTGAATGACTGGGATCAACTCCAAGCTCCACTTCTCATCAGTTCCATGATTATAATCTTGGAAAAGTTATACACCTCCTAGTTACTGTGTTCCACTATTTTTAACTGTATTGCTTCCTATAATTTAATTGTTAGGAAGGTTGGATATGGTAGAAGTGACAAAAAACTAGACATAAAATATATGTTTAATACAAATTACATTACAGTAATGGAGTTAAATGGATTTTAAAGTAAATTTTAATTTATATGGACTGCAATATTAACCATTCATGAATTAATACAATTGAGATTTTTTTAGAAACATGCACACTAGAATCATATATTTTCTCTGTTTCCCCTGTGTTGTGATGAAATACAGTGATCTCAACTGGTTCTTTAAGACTGGGGCAATGTGAAAGACCTCAACACTTATTAATATTGAGGGTTTAGTAACACAATATTTCTTTGTGGGGATTTCAATGCATAGCCCTGAAATGCTCAATAGCAAGTGAGTTAATAATCAGATCCAAAAGATATTTCTAAACAACTCTCTTTTGGCCTCATTATGTTCTAATCCACATAGACATATTACAGCCTAATATGCTATCTGATATTTTATGATGAAATACCTCACAGTAGAAGAAAAAAAGGAATCACATGCTTGAAACTGTTATCTCAAGGAGATGACAAGGTATTTTTTTTTGCTGAAAGCAGTAATTGGAAGATTTTACAAATAAAAACTGCCCAAAGATCACTGCATAGTGTACAATTTGGATGGGAAATAACTCAAGACAGCACACAGGGAATAAAATTCCATCTAACAGCATGAAACTTAACCATTAAAACACAGTAATCTATTCTAGGTGGCTTTATATATATATATATTGTGAATGTCAATATGTTCTGATTACAGCTGTGTTGACACCAACATAAACAGTCTTCAAATAGAACAAGGATTGTATTATTTTTCTGACTTTGATGATTTCCCTTTCACATTTTTATTCCAATTATATCTAAGTGGACACCTGTAAAGTATAAACATGATGCCCTTCAGACATTGTTAAAAGCAAATTTTCAAAGAGGTTTGTTATTGAGTTGTATTAGTAAGCCTTAGCTACTATAACAAAATATCACAGATTTGCTGGCTCAAAGAATAGAAGCTTCCTTCTTAAGATTTCAGACACTGGAATGTTCAAACCAGGCTGAAGGCCCTTTTTCTGATGTACACACAGCTGCTTTCTTGTTGAATTCTATTTGCATGAAGAGAAAACAGAGAAAGGAAGAGGGATGGGAAAAAGAGCAAGCTGTTTGTTTTCATCCTGCCAGGGCACAAATTTCATAAAGGCACTGTTTACATGATCTCATCTAAATTTAAGTACCCCCCAAAGACCACCACCTCATAATAATATCATTTGGAGATTAGAGGGTTTTTTTTTTAAAGATTTATTTATTTATTTGAAAGGCAGAGTTACAGAGAAGCAGAGGCAGAGGCAGAAAGAAGAGAGAGAGAGAGAAAGAGAGAGAGAGAGAGAGAGAGGTCTTCCATCTGCTAGTTTACTCCCCAAAAGGCTACAACAGCCAGGGTTGACCCTATCCAAAGGCAGGAGCCTGGAGCTTCCTCCAGGTCTCTCACGTGACTGTAGGGGCCCAAGCACTTGGCCACCTTCTACTGCTTTCCCAGGCCACAGAAGAGAGCAGGATCGAAAATGGAATAGCTAGGAATTGAGGAATTGAACAGGCACCTATATGGGATGCTGGCGGCCTTCTCCACTATGCCACAGCACCGGCCCTGGAATTAGAGATTTTTTTTTAATTAATTAATTTATTTAATTTTTTCTTTTTCTTTTTTGACAGGCAGAGTGGACAGTGAGAGAGCGAGAGACAGAGAGAAAGGTCTTCCTTTTGCGGATGGTTCACCCTCCAATGGCCGCCGCAGCCGGCGACTGCACTGATCCGATGGCAGGAGCCAGGAACCAGGTACTTATCCTGGTCTCCCATGGGGTGCAGGGCCCAAGTACTTGGGCCATCCTCCACTGCACTCCCTGGCCACAGCAGAGAGCTGGCCTGGAAGAGGGGCAACCGGGACAGAATCCGGCGCGCCCCGACCAGTACTAGAACCCGGTGTGCCGGCGCCGCAAGGTGGAGGATTAGCCTAGTGAGCCGCGGCGCCAGCTGGAATTAGAGATTTAATACCTGGATTTTGTGGGAACACATATATTCAATCCTAACAGTCAGGTTGTAGTAATACATACACGTTCTTGCTTCAGTTCAAATTGCTGACAGGTATTTAAATGAAATATTTCAACATGTTTCAAAAATATACCCAAATGAACATGTATTCATTAAGCTATATATTTGTAATTGGCAATGGGTTATAGAAAACTATGCTAAGAAAAGCTTACCTTTCGAGATAATTTTCCTGGAGTTTCCTTATTTTTCTGTAGATGAAGTTGAATAACAGATTTATCTTTCTGAAACATTTTGTGACTCCCCAAGTAGTGATCACTGGAAGAGAAAAAAATGAACATAGTCATATCCTCCCCTAATGCCCCCAAGTGTGTGTTTTCCTCTCTGACTTCATTTCCTTTTATTTTTAGAACTTAGTCCGGTAAAAAGCAAACTCTGAGTTTACTTGTAGATAGGTATTAGTGAGTTTGTACATGAGGGTATTTAAAAAAATTTCACAGAAATTGGAATTAGACTATTTGCTTTGTTAAAAAATTGTTGAAACTCATAATATGCATTTTTGAACACACCATGTGTGTCTGATACACAATATATTGTAATTATTTTCAAGTGCATAAATAAAGTAGAAAATGACTAGGCAACTTTGGAAAGGGAATTTTATGAAAAGGTTGCTTTTCATATTCAAAGTCAAATTTTCAAGCCATTCTCAAAACAAAGACACCATGTTTCTTGGAGGTCTAACTGAGGCCACCAATGTCTGTGGAATCCACTGACTCAAGGAAGCAGAGAGATGCAGTCAAAATGTCTGTCTCTGGAGACAGATATACTAGACCCATGAACTCATGCAGACAATTAGACTAAAATTATCTGAAGCAATAATTTCCTCTTTAGAGTCAGGGTAGTGATGTCTACATCAAAGAATTGGCAAGTATATCAAAGGGAGAAACAAATCCTTACATATATCAGCTTTTTCTAGTGCATAATTATATTTTCTTTTTCTTTCTTCTTCTCTCTTTTTTTCTGTATATATTTGCCAAGCACATATTAAATGATGAATACAGTGAATTATTATCTTGAAACATTTTATTTTAGACAAAATCTGAATCTTTTGTGAAATGAAGGCCTTTTGTGATATGGTCTTCTTTATAACTACATTTTGGTATCTCTTGTGACTTCTAGTCATTTAAAAACATGAGGCACAGCACTGTGCGCAGTGGGGATGTGGCAGAGACATGGGGAGCACAGAGACACAGCCACACAGCTCCACCCTCCTACCACTCTAGTTCACACCAACCCTGAACCCTGAGGCACTTGCTTGGCATGGAGAGAGTAGGCAGGAGGCTCTCAGCAGTCCTCCTTGTAGTCATCAACATGATGGACACCTGAGATATTTTCTGCTGGAGAAGCTGGCAACTTTCAAAGACTTTGAGCCCAGTTTTGGGTGTTTCCAGGAAATCCAGACTGCTATATTACCCCTGAGAAACACCCAGTCCGGCTATGCCCTACTCCACCTGGCGGCGGCTGCATTGGGAGATCTTGATACATCATCAACCCAAGGGCCTTGGGAAGTGGTGGAGTTGCTGCCCCAGTGGGTCTTCCTTCCTGGGGTTCCTAGCCCTCCAGAACAGAAAGGTCCCCCGCACATTGCAACACCTTCTACCTACAGCCCCTTTGAAGCTCCTGGATAATTATGCCAATCATCACACAGCCTCAGGCAGCAACTCATCAGCCCTTCCTGAGTGGTGGCCTGTCTAAGCTTCCAGGATGCATCCAGGTGGCTCCACCTATCTTTCTAGGGCTTTGAGAAGCAACTAGGAAGCTTGTCATGAGAATCTCAGATATCTGAAGCTTCCAAGAGCAGCCAGGAGGACCCTCCATGTACTCAGGACACCGGGAAGATGGTGGGCACCCTGTCCTGAGCTTCCCAACCTCCAGAAGCCCCTGCATTGCCTTTGACACTGACAGGTACCCCACTGCTGTTTCCAGTTATGCTATGCCCCATCCACTTGGGCTTGTTGGAGTTGCCTTACCCAGGGTAGCCCTTGGAAAATGACCGGTAACCTACACCTGCCATTCAGCATCCTTGCCCAGAGCTGCTATAGAACCTACTGCTACCAAGAACCACAGAAAATATCCCTGATAATATAGAGTAAAAATTCTCAACAAAATACTAACAAATCAAATCTAATAACACATTGAAAGATTTTATATCAGAAGAAAATGGGATTTATCCAAGGGATGCAAGGAAGATTCAACAAATATAAACAATAATTTAAAAAAACCTTTATACTTTAATTTCCCATCATTAAAGACAAAAATCATGATCCTTTCAATGGTACAAAATAATCATTCAGTAAAATTCAATATCCTTTCATGATAAAACCCTCAACAAATCAGATGTAGAAGGAATGCATTTCAACACAATAAAACTACTGTGATAAAACCACAGCCAACATCATACTGAACATAGAAAAGTGGAAAGTGTTTATTCTAAGGAGGGGTAGAAGACAAGGTTGTCCATTTTCATCAACACTACTTAACATGAAGTCTTACTCAGATCAATTGACAAGAGAAAGAATGGACAATCAAATAAGAAAGGAGACAGTAGAATTATCACTGAAGGTGATGTGATTTTATGGAAAAACTTAGACTCCACCAAAAACTCTAAAAATAAAATTAACCAAGTATAAAATGAAAATTAGAAAACTCTGATGAAAGAAATTTAAGAAGACACACACACCCATAAAAAATTGAAAGAAATCTATTTTCATGGATTAAAAGAAATATCATTAAAATATCCATACTATCTTTCTGATCCTTTGTGATCCTCACTGAAATACCAATGACTGGGGCCAGTGTTGTGGCATAGCATGTAAACCTGCTGGCTGTGATGCTGGCATCCCAGATGGGCACCAGTTCATGTCCCATCTGCTCAACCTCCCTTTGCTAATGGTTTGGGAAAAGCAGTATAGATGGCCCAAGTGCTTGGGCCCCTGCACTAATCTGGGAGATCCAGATGAAGCTCCTGGCTCCTGACTTGGGCCTTCCCCAGTCTTGGTCCTGGAGAGTGAACACCTGGAGAGTAAACCAGTGGATGAAAAGTCTCTCCCTCTCCCTCTCCCTCTCCCTCTCCCTCTCCCTCTCCCTCTCCCTCTCCCTCTCCCTCTCCCTCTCCCTCTCCCTCTCCCTCTCCCTCTCCTTCTCCCTCTCCTTCTCTTTCTCTGTAACTCTGACTTTCAAATAAATAAATACATTGTCTTTTAAAAAAATAGTAATTCTCTACAAAAATAGAAAAAAAACCCCTACATCTAATATAGAACCAGGAAAGACCTCATACAGTCAAAGCAATCTTTGGATTGGAACAAAGCTGTGGACATTGTAATACCTCAAACATACCACTAAGCTGTATGATCCAAGAAATCATGATGCTGGGATAAAAACCAATACACAGACTGGTGGAACAGAATAGAAAACCCAGAAATAAATCCATGTACATAAAATAAATTGATTTTTTATAAGTTTCCAGAAACATACCTTGGAGAAAGGATGGTCTCAATAAATGGTGCTGGAAAAACTGGATACTCACATGCAAAAGAATGAAACTAGACCATGTATCCTCTCAACCCTCACTATGTAAAAAAAAATCAAATCAAAATGTATCAAACACCCAAACGTAAGATCTGAAACTATCAAACTACTAAAATAAAACCTAGAGGTAAAAAAGAAAACCCCAAAACTGCAAGCAACAAAGTAAAGCTAGACAAATGGGGTAATATCAAACTAAGAACAAAGGAATAATCAACAGAGTGAATAAATATTCAAAAAATGAGAGAAAATATTTGCAAACCAGTCATCAGAGAAGCAATTAATATCCATAATGTATATGCATTAAGATCTAAAAAAACCTCTCAATAACAAAAAAAAAATGAAATAATCCAATCAAAAATAGGGCAATGATCTGAATCACTGACATTTCTTAAGATACAAAAGTAGCCAACCAATATTTGAAAGAATGCTCAGCACCAATAATAATTTAGAAAAACAAGTCAAACCATAAAATATCATCTCATTCCAGTTAGAATGGCTATTATCAAAAAGACAAAAATAAAAGCTGAAAGGTATGATGAAAACGGGAAAATCTTGTACACTTCTTAGAAATGTAAGTAAGTATAGATGTAATGGAAAACAGTATGGAACTTCCTCTGAAAATTAAAAGTAGATCTACCATATGACCCAGTTATCCCACTCCTGGGCATATAGCCAAGGAAATTGAGGCAGTATATCAAAGAGAGAGCTGTATTTGCATGTTTATTGTAGAACTAGTGACAGTAACCTAGATATGGAATCAACCAAGGTGCCCATCAACAAAAGAATGGATAAAAAAGGTGATATATATACACCATAGAATACTATTCAGTTATAGAAAATAACTGTTATCAATTTGATAACATGCATGTAACTGGAGGACAGTGAATAAATCAGGTACAAAAAGCCAAATATCACAGGTTCTCACTCATATGTGGAAACTAATAAAAGCAGCTTTGATCAAAGTAGTGAGTAAAATAGTGGTCACTGAAAGGTTGCAAGGGTAGGGGAATGAGGGACGGAGGGAGTTTGCATAATAGGCATCAAAACACAATTACATAGGATGAATATGCTCCAATGTTCCATAGCACAGTAGAGTGACTATATTGCATTTGACAATTTATTATCTATTTTACAGAGAACTAGCTTGGTGAATTTGAAGGTTGTTTTTGTTTTTGTTTTTGTTTTGACAACACACAGAAATAATAGATGTTTATCATCATAAATGATAAATAATTAAGGAAACATAAGTAGTAATTACCCTGATTTGATCATTACACATTCTATTTTTATACATGTTATCAAATTATCATACTGTACCCTGTAAATTTGTACAATTATTATATGTTAATAAAAAAGAAAAGAAAAATGAAAGGCTCTTAGTTAAATATTGGAAAGATTTCAGAAGAAAGAAAATCTTATATTACAAGTTTGTTTACCTTAAAATGATGAATTCATTTACCTGGAACATTCACTAAATATTTCTGACAATTTACTCGCTTCAAAGTCATACATGTAGAGAGAGTAGTGTTCTGTTAGGATCCACTAAATTCTCTGTGAATATTTTTATTTAGATAATACTTATTTCTTAATATTTAACTACTATGTGATTTTAGACTTACTAACTTATCTTTAATTATTTAGAGCTATACTGTACATTAAACACTAGACCCATACAATTACTGGTTAATTGAAATGAGGCCATTTTGAATACAAGTTTGTGAAAATTATAA